CCTCAAACCTTGTTACAACGCCAGCACATTACCTGTCTGATGTGAAAAAAACAAACAAAAACAAAACAGAAGGGATGTACTTCAATGAAATAAAGGCCACATATGACAAACCCACAGCTAACATACTTAATGATGAAAAGCTGAAAGCTTTTCTTCTAATGTCAGGAACAAGACAAGGATACCTATTTTCACCACTTCTATTGAATGTAGTACTAGAAGTCATAGCCAGGGCAATTGGGCAAGAGAAAGGGATAAAAGGCATCCAAATTTTAAAGGAAGAAGTTAATTTGTCCCTGTTTTCAGATGACAAGATCTTATATATAGAAACCCTAAAGACCACCAAAAAACTAGTAGAATAAATGAATTCAGTAATGTCGTAAGATATAAGATCAACATAGAAAAATCAGTGGTGTTTCTATATACTAAAAATGAACTACCTGAAAAAGAAATCAAGAAAACAATACCATTTACAATAGCTACAAAAATATTAAAATACATAGGAATAACTGTAACCAAGGAGGTGAAAGACCAGAACACTGAAAATAAAACATTTCTGAAAGAAATTGAAGACAGAAATAAATAAGAAGACATTCCATGTTTATCAATTGGAAGAATTAGTATTATTAAAATGTCCATACAACACAAAGTGATCTACAGATTCAATGTAATCTCTATCAAAATTCCAACAACATTTTTCACAGAGAACAACAACAAAAACTCCTAAAATTTGTAAGAAATGAGAAAAGATTCCAAATAGCCATAGCAATCTTGAGCAAAAAGAACAAAGTTAGAGTCATGACACAACTTAACTTCAAAATATACAACAAAGCTATAGAAATCAAAATAGCATGGCATAAAAACATATACATATACCAACTGAACAGAATAAAGAGCCCCAAAATAAATCCACCCATTAACTGTCAATATTGATTTCAATAAGGGCCAAGAACACACAATGGGGAAAGGACAGTCTCTTCACTAAATAGTACTGGGAAAATGGTATATTCACATGCAAAAGGATAACATTATTAATAGATCCTTATCTCAAACCATGTACAAAAATCTACTCAAAATGGATTGAAGACTTAAACATAAAACCTGAAGGTATAAAACTACAGAAGAAAACATAGGAGAAAAGCAGCATGATTTTTTCGTCTGGGGGCAATGATTTTTGTGGATATGATCCCAAAAGCACAGGCAACAAAAGCAAAATAGACAAATGGGATTACATCAAGCCAAAAAGCTTCTACACAGCTAGGGAAATAACAGAGTGAAGAGATAATTTATAGAATGGGAGAAAATATTTGCCAACTATACATCTGATAAGGGGCTAATATCCAAAATAGATAAGGAACTCAAATAACTCAATAGTAAGAGAACAAATAATCTGATTTTAAAATGGGCAAATGATGTGAGTACACATTTTTCAAAAGAGGACATATAAATGAAAAAACTGCCTAACATCACTAATCATCAGAGAAATGTGAATTATCTATTTATTTATGCTAGAGATGGCATCTTGCAATGTTGCCCAGGCTAGACTCAACTCCTGGGCTCAAACAATCCTTCCCCCTCAGCCTCCTGAGTAGGTGGAACTACAGGCATGTGCCATGGCCACCATACCTGGCTCACAGAAATGTAAATTAAAACCACAATGAGAAATATCACCTCACACCTCTTAGAGTAGTTATTATCAAAAAGGCAGGAGATAAGTGTTGAAGAGAATGTGGAGAAAAAGGAACACTTGCACACTATTAGTAGGAATGTAAATCAGTATAGCTATTATGGAAAACAGTATGGAGGTTCCTCAAAAAATTAAAAATAGAACTCTTATGTGATCCAGCAATCACACTTGTATATCCAAAGGAAATAAAATCACTATCTTGAAGAAGAGATATCTGCACTCCCATCTTTATTGCAGCATAATTTATAATAGCCAACATATAGAATTAACCTAATTGTCCATTAACAGATGATTAGATAAGGAAAATATGGTGTATATACATATATACAATAGAATAAACACTATTTAGCCTTAAAAAAGAAGGGAATTCTGCCTTTTGTGGCAACATGGATGAACCTGGAGGACATTATGTTCAGTGAAATAAGCCAGGCACAGAAAGACAAATATTGCATGATCTCACTTATATGGGAATCTAAAAAAGTTGAACTCATGGAAGTAGAGTAAAATAGTGAGGGGAGAGAAAAAAAATAAAAAGAAGTAAGGGTGTTCTCAAAAAGTAATGGAGGTATATCAAATGGACTCAGGCATGTCAAATGACTGTTGGAAGGGGCTCCCACTGACCAAATCAAGTACAACTTAAGGATCAAAATGAATACTGGTAGTAATGAATTATAACACATTGAAAAAAAATGAGTCCATATTGATAGTAATTAATACAGAGGAAGGAAGAAAGAAAGGAAAGCTATTTATTTTCAGTAAAATGCAGCTAATACATATAGGGGAACATAAGTATAGTACCATCAAACAATAACTGTCTCAGCAAGGATCCTAAATGGGTGCTCATATGAAAGTTTTTGAGGAGGATATTTACATAAATAATCTCTCTAGACCAGGTGTGATGGCTCATGCCTGTAATCCCAGCACTTTTGGAGGCTGAGGCAAGAGGATTGCTTGAGGCTAGGAATTTGAGCCCAGCCTGGGCAACATGGCAAGACTCCATATCTACAAAAAATAGAAAAACAGGTTGGTTGTGGTGGCATGTCCCTATAGTTCCAGCTACTTGGGAGGCTGAGGCAAGAGGATAGCTTGAGCTTGGGAGGTCAAGGTTACAGTGCTATGATTACACCACTGAACTCCAGCTTGGGTGACAGAACAAGATCGTGTCTCGAAAAAGAATCCAAAAAAATATCTACAGAAAATTCATATGGAATTAATTTTGGATGTCTAGTATGAGGTAAGAATTTAAATTTATTCCTGCTCCATGGTCAAAAACACTATTTAAAAAAAAAAAAGAATTTAAATTGAGTGTTTTTTTTCTCCAAAATGGAAGCCTAGTTTTCCATCTCTTTCTACAGAAATTAAACTGTAAGCTACTACAGGTATCAATTATACTGTAAGATTCTTGAGGACATGGACTGTGTTATGTTCACAACTTTAGCCCTAGTGTAATGCCTACCCAACACATTGCCTGTCAAATTAGTGACTGAAAAAATGTTTGTGGAATGCATGTTTCCTTTTACCATACATGGAGTTTGTATATATTCTATATATACCAAAGGTCTTCTTGGTTGGACTATTTATTCTGTTCCTATGCTCTCTGGGTCTATTTTAATTTTTTTTTTTTCAGACAGAGTCTCACTCTGTTGCCCTGAGTAGAATGCCATGGCATCAGCCTAACTCATAGTAGTAACCTCAAACTCCTGAGCTCAAGTGATCCTTCTGCCTCCGCCTCCAGGGTAGCTGGGACTACAGGTGTGAGTCATGACACCCGACTAATTTTTCTGTTTTTAGTAAAGATGGGGTCTTGCTCTTGCTCAGGCTGGTCTCAAACTCCGAGCTGAAGCAGTCCTTCCGCCTTGGCCTCCCAGAATAGGCCCGCGGGTCTATTTTATACTTTATTGTAGGTTTATGAAGTATTAAAAACTGGTGGGCTAATTACAAGGAAGGACTTTTTTGCTTTTGTCTTTTTTTTTGGAGGGCAGAGACTTGAGCATCTTTATGGGTTGAGGAGGAAGAGTCACTGGAAAAGGAGAGGTTGCAGATAATGGTGCAAGCTCCCAGGGAGACTGGAGACGGTGGACTGGGGGCCAGGAGGATTGATTTGGGGAAGAAGAGGCCCCTTTTCTCTCAGAGATGAGAGAAACAGGCCATGGCAGATGTGGATGCAGGTAAATGTGGTGGGGGTCTTTCGGTTGTTAAGGGTGGCACCCAAATAACCTTGGCTTTTTCACTTGGGTAGAGGATGAGATGAGATTCTCCACTGAGAATGGCACTCAAGGTAATGGGTTGTTGTTGGTGGTCCGGCGCAGCACTAACGAGGAATGGAAAAACAAGCTGACTACAGACTCCTAGAATGATTGCTGAAGGGCCCAATGGAGGACGGTGACCTGGCTTTGTACTGGTACCAGCAGGTTTCGGTGATACTCTCCAGCTGCTGAAAAGACCAACTCAAGGAAAACTGGGTAGAGATCTGACAAAATTCTTTAGGAAAAGGACCCGCAGAATTTAACTAAAATAGCGCCTACCTTTCTTTAGGTTTCCTCTCCTTTCCATTTCCCCTAGCCAAGCCCCACAACTGGGTTCAGCAGGTTTTGGCATGTTTTCTGCAGTTAACTGCACAGCGCTCTTTGCGGGACAAAAATGACGAATAATGCTAGCCAGGCTGACCAAGAGAGGGACTGGAAACTTTACTTGCATCAGTATTTGCAACACAAAATCTAAATGAAAAAGTTAACGATAGACCCCCACATCACTTTGGGTCAGACACTGTGCCAATCGCTTCAAGTGCATTCACTAAATCCTCAAAAAAATATTATGAAGTGGGTCCTATTATTAACTCCACTTTACACACCAGAGGTCTGAGGGCTAAAGAATTTAGCGATTTGTTTAAGATCGTGTGGCTAGTCATGCAAGTCTGAAAATTTTTCGCTCTTAACGCCCCCGCTCTGTATCACACAAGGCAATTGTCAGGCCACAAGAACGCCGAGGTGAGAACGCGGTAACATATCATGAGTGCCCAAAGTATCCAACACATACGGTAACCGAGCCTGCCCGCACCCATCCGGTGACCCCCTCACGCGTGATGCTCACGCGCACCTTCCTCCTGGTCCAGGCTTCCTCTACGAAGGCTCAGGCGGCCTGATCTCGGCCAGAAGGTGCGGACGATTCTATCTGGACTGGACTCCTTCTGCCTGAGCATCAGATCCGAGCGTGGGGCTGGCCGGGACGAGAGGGCGGAGCCGGCCCCGGGAAAGATTGCGGATTGGAGGGGAGGAGAAACAGGGGGCGGAGCCTCGGGGGGAAGCGAGAAGCCGCAGCAACCATGTAAGCAGCCTCGCTTCCTGCCACAGCCGCTGGCGGCTGGAGTATCCCGGAGCTGCGCTCCCGAGCCGGCTTCCTGGGCCAGAGCCAGGCGAAGCGGTGGCTAGGGTGGAGGGCGGCCAGCGGGGTCGCGACGGGAGGCGCAGGTAAGGGAGGGGTCTGCAGCGCGGCTGCCGAAGAAGACAGGTTTGGGGAGCTCCCGGGCCAGAGCCGGAGGGGGAAAGCTGGGGTGAAGGCGACAGCCGGGCTCCGCAACCGGGAGCTGAGGCCTGGCTGCGGCCGAGGCTGGGCAAGGAAGGGCAGAGTACCTGCCGCTAGAACTATAGGTCCTCCTAATTGCCTGGCTTCTCCATGTCTGGCCAGCGGGTACGGGAGCCAGGTGGGGCTCTTCTTCAAGAGATCTCTTTGGAAACATTTGAAGTTCCCTTGCCCCTCTCTGGTCCCCTATGTCTGAACTTATTTTGGCGGTGAATAGGCCAGTTCTTTTTCAGAGTGAATGAGCTCTAAGTCTGTGTGTCACAGGTACATCTGTAGGCTGGGAAAGAAAGTTAACGAGCTACAGAAACGACGGCTGTGGGGTTTCTAATATGTGTATATCTCCTTAAGTGTTGGCCTCTGCTATTTGAGGCCATTTCATTTCAACTTATGTTTCCAAATCTCTTTTGAGATTTAGTTTCCCAATTAGTATTTCCACATTGCTCAGAATGTTCCTAACGAAAGAATGAAAATGGAATGTGGTGTATACTTGTGGGAATTATGCGTCTTCTGTCTAATTCAGAGGTTATTCCTAAGACATTCAAGAAATATGAGAAATACTAGAATTCTGTATAAAGCAGTTATTTCTATGTATCTGGTGTGTGTATGTATTATCTAGTATTGATTCAGTGCATCCTGTGCTGTAAAATTAGTGTAATCTTGACAATAGAGGTAGTTGCTTGTTGTGGTGTGTTTATTTCTGATTTATTTGAATCTTGGTTTTGGGTACTCCAAAACTGCCACTGTCAGTATTCTCATAAAAAATGTTCTTAATTTCTTTCTCTTGGGTTTGATTTTGTGACAAAGATTGGGTAGGTCAAATCTCTTCTATGCAGCAAGACTAATTTCCTGGGTCCTCCCCCTTTTCTTCTTTCTGGAAAGAGTATTATGGATCATGTTGTGGTTTTGTTTTAGTGTTTCTGTTGGTGTGTCAAGACAAAAGTTGAAAAAAAAAAACTTTGTTAATTCATGCTAACATTCCACGTATTCAGCTGTCTTGAATTATTAGATAAATTTTGAGTATTTTAAAATCTTTTACATACTTAGAAATGACCAGACTGATACTTGAATTTTCCATCTGCTAAAATTTTGATATTGGCTGATAGATCAGCTTATTTTCTACATTTTAATACCTGATTAGCCTTCTGATTGCCTTTAGCAATCAGAAGGTGGTGTATAGTAGGTCTATGTAAACTAGTAGCCTTGAAATGAGAAGAGGTATTGGTGATGCATTAGAGGTCTTTGGGCAGTGAGGTTAATTCTTCTAATTACTTGTTGGGAAAGACTCCTAGTTTATGTTGTAAACAGTTATTAAGGTGCCAAAGAATAAGAGTTGCAAGTTATTTTTTTCAGGACCCTAGTGTCATTATGTAATTATTAGGATTAACTCTGTGTGTTTCTATTTGTATATCGGAGACTATACTTGCTGAGTGTTTTAATGAGATTTTTATCTTCCTATCTCTAAAGCCAAATAAAAGTTTTGTGTTTAGATAACCTTTAAAAGTAATTCTAGGACTCTTCAGGAAGATTACTATCTCTGTTTCTGATGTTACTTGTGGAAGTAGAATGTAGGCTGTTTTCCGAGGCCTGAGGGTTATCACTATCACATCCTTTCTCTCCAGTGCTTTTTTGTAAAAATAAAGTTTATATGTTTATATATATATATAAACTTTATTTTAAGGAGTTTATACACACACACACACACCTTTTTTTTTTGAGACAGAGTGTCTCTCTGTCCCCTGGCTAGACTGCAGTGACGTCACCCTAGCTCACTGCAACCCCAAACTCCTGGGCTCAGGTGGTCCTCCTGCTTTAGCTTCCTGAGTACCTGTGAGGGCACCACCATGCCCGGCTAATGTTTTCTCTTTTTAGTAGAGACGGAGTCTTGCCCTTGCTCAGGCTGGTCTCAAACTTCTGACCTCAAGCAGTCCTCGCTCCTCTGCCTCCCAGAGTGCTAGGATTACAGGTGTGAGCCACCATGCCTGGCCTTGAGTTTATACTTGACCAATCGTAAGCTTATTTATGCTGGAATATGGAGTGTCATGACATTAGGATTGTTGATTACTTTCCCCAATAGAAGATGATATTAGAGACCTTCCTTTTCCTTCTTCTTCCTTCTTTTCTTTCCTTCCTCCTTTCCCTTCCTCTTCTCTTTTCCCTTTCCTTTCCCCATCCCTTCTAATAAACATTTATTGCCAAAATTCTATTCAAGTCAGTGGTTTTATTTCTGCTTTAATTAATTAATCAATTAAATTGTTAATCAGACAAAGTCTTGAATTGCTAGAGAATTCAAATTGGAAGTCTGAAGAGCTACGAAAATAATTTTGATTTAAAGAACAATTTGGGAGTGAGACTTGGAGTCTAGTTACAGTTCTACCACTGACTGTGTAGCCCCCAAGAAAGTTGTTTTAGGTTTATTGTGCCTTGGTTTCCTCAAAGGTAAAATGTAGTAATGAGGCCAGTGCTGTGTGCCTTCCAGGATTGTTGTAAGAATAAAATGAAATGGTAGATATGATTTTGAATGTGAAAAGTACTTTACAGGAGTGTAATGTCCTCTTTGTAACATGTAGGTTACATTATAAACTATGGCATTTTAATGATGAGTTATGTATGATTCTTCTCTTTGAAGTATAAATCAGTATGGCAGAAAATAGACATCAGTGCTTTTCAGTAACCTCCATCTGGTGATGTGCTTAGCTTTACTGCTTTGGTTGAATTATGATTTTTGGTTATTTAGAGAAAAATCCCTTTAAGAAGAGTTTCATCTTAATGTTGAGATGTTAAATGTAAAAAATTGAAAACATAGTACAGAGTTGAGGCTTAAAGGGAAGAAAAACCAGGTTCATGTTAGGAGGAAAGATGATAGGAAACAGCTTGTTGATTTGAATAGTTGTCATAGGTGATGAAGTGTAGCTTGAGGTAATTGTTGAGGTTATATAGAAATGTCATTAAAGGATGACTTGGCTGGGTGCAATGGCTTACACCTGTGATCCCAGCACTTTGGGAGGCTGAGGCTGGAGGATTGCTTGAGGCCAGGAGTTGGAGACCTGCCTGGGCAAGTTGGTGAGACCCTGTCTTTACAAAAAGTAAAGGAAAAAGAGCCAAGAGTGGTGGTAAGTGCCTGTAGTTCCAGCTATTTGGGAGGCTGAGGCAGAAGGATCACTTGAACCCAGTTCAAGGTTGCATGATCATGCCACTGCTCTCCAACCTGGGCAACAGTGCAAGACCCCATCTCAGAAAAAAAAAGATTTTTATTTCCTTTTCTTGGAAATATAATGTTGATTTTTTTACATTATTTTTTAAAATAAAAAGTTAATGTAAGTAAAATAAGACTGTGACTTAAGAATTTATATTCTTGTGTAAAACCAGTTTTCCCAGAACTTTAATAAATGATTGAGTATTCTTTTTTCCAAAAAAACCTTAAAATGAAAGAGATATAAATGATGTAAAAATGCTGTTTTTTCTTTCTGCCTGCTCACATTAATGTTTTATTTCCAGATTTTCATTAATTTTAATATTTTCTATAATTTGAATAGTAATGTTTAAAATTCGGTTGGGTATGTAATTATAGGTTTTGGTGATTGAGACTTCCTAGGATCTAGACAGCAGTGTTTACAAGCCTTGATTTGGAGTATACCATGTTTCCCTGAAAATAAAACCTACTCATAAAATAAGCCCTAGCAGGATCTAAGCATTTGTGCAATATAAGCCCTATCTTGAAAACAAAACCTAGTGATGAGTGTGGCTACGCAGCGTATCTGCACAACCTATGCATTTTGTCCCAGAGTGGTAAAGAAGACAAGCAGCCCTTCTCATTTGCCCCTTCGTGACAGCTACTATCCCAGAGGAGACTGGAAAGGTGCGGGCAGCCCCACCAACAAGGTTGGCTCCCCCTGCAGGTCCTGGCCATCCTGTGCATGCTACAAGCTGAGGCTTTGAGAGGAAAATAACACATTCCCTGAAAATAAGCCCTTGGGTGTTTTCTTGAGGAAAAATCAATATAAGACCCTGTCTTATTTTCGGGGAAACATGGTACTAAACTAGATTACTCTTTGGTTTTCATAGATCTGAATTTTAACAGAATAGGATTTTTCAGATATTTGGATGTTATTTGGAATCAAGTTTTGGGCTTCCTGAGAAATTTATGTTTTGCTTGTTTCTTTTTTTTCCTCCCCAGACTCATGAAATGGCCACAGATGATAAGACTTCCCCAACGTTGGATTCTGCTAATGATTTGCCTCGATCTCCCACTAGTCCGTCTCATCTCACACACTTTAAACCTTTGACTCCTGATCAGGATGACCCTCCTTTTAAATCAGCTTATAGTTCTTTTGTAAATCTCTTTCGATTTAACAAAGGTAAGTCTTATTCTTAAAGATCAGAGAACTTACAGGTTTGATTCTCTTTTTCAACTTTCATGCTGTATCTTTGTAAGAAAGCAAAATATTGGCTGGGTGTGTTGGCTCACTCCTGTAATCCTAGCCTGGGCAACAAAGCAAAATATTAACAAGCTGATAGCTTTAATCATAAGTCACCAGGGTTTATGCCGTAAGAGAAAACTAAAATTTTTAGTGTAATATCACTAATTATTGGTAACTGAAGGTCTGAATTGAAAACTAAATGGTAAAAGGCGATCGATCCTCTTTTAAAGGGAAAGTAGTGCTCTTTGTTTTGTTGTTGTTCTTTTTTTTCTTAATATGCTTCAACTTCCTTAAGTTCACAGAGTGGACTTTGTTCTTTTGGGGTTAATGGACAAAATATTTTAATTAAAGCAATGAAACTAAAAGGAGCAGTACATGAGAGGAAAGGCTTGTTTTTAAAAAATTAGAAACTGTCAGTAGGCCTCTTGTTTACTTAAACCCATTAGATTAAAGTGTACATGTAATGACATCAAATGGAAAGATATTTTTTTAATGAGCTCTATTTAAGTAATATGTTGTTTGCCTGGAGAAAGAATTAAAAAAACTTGGCCTATATCTTTTACCTTTCATTTGTCTGTATTGTAGTTTAATTAACTCAGTAGAAATTTTAATAGTAGTAATTGGATTTTATTAGTGGTCATGTTTTTTTTTTTTTTTTTTTTTTGAGACAGAGTCTTACTCTGCCCGGACTAGAGTGCCATGTCATCAGCCTAGCTCACAGCAACCTCAAACTCCTGGGCTTAAGTGAATCCTTCTGCCTCAGCCTCCCAAGTAGCTGGGACTACAGGCATGCGCCACCATGCCCGGCTAATTTTTTCTGTATATATCTTTAGTTGCCAATTAATTTCTTTCTATTTATAGTAGATATGGGGTCTCGCTCTTGCTCAGGCTGGTCTCAAACTCCTGAGCTCAAACAATCCTTCCACCTCAGCCTCCCCAGTAGCTGGGACTACAGGCATGTGCCACCATGCCCGGCTAATTTTTCTATATATTTTTAGTTGGCCAATTAATTTCTTTCTGTTTTTCAGTCGAGACTGGGTCTCTGTCTTGCTCAGGCTGGTTTCGAACTCCTGACGTTGATCGATCCTCCTGCCTTGGCCTCCCAGAGTGCTAGGATTATAGGCATGAGCCACCGTGCCTGGCCTGGGCACTGTTTTAATAGTGTAAGGAATCTATCTCATAAGCAGATAAAAATCCCTGCCTTTCTGTGAAGCTTGCATTCTGTTTCCTTTAGTATGCCCAAGAAATTTCTAATGAAAAATAAGACAGAAGATCACTTATACCAAGGGTGTGATTATTGGCCTGCAATTTTGCCTCTTTCTTTGAATTTTTTTTTGTAACCCCTAATTTTTAAGTTAAAAAAATTTTTTTGGAGACAAGGTCTTACTCTGTTGCCTGGGGTAGAGTGTGGTGGTGTCATCATAGCTCACTGCAACCTCAAACACCTAGGCCCAAGTGATCCTTCTGCCTTAGCCTCCCATGTAGCTGGGACTAGAGGTGTGGGCCACCATGCCTAGCTAATTTTTGAATTTTCTGTAGAGATGTTGTCTTGCTATGTTGCTTAGGATGGTTTCAAACTCCTGGTCTCAAGTGATCCTCCCACCTCAGCCTCTCAAAGTGATAGGATTATAGGGGTAAGCTACCATGCCAGGCCTAAAAACCCCTAATTTTTTAACCCCCTAATTTTTATGTATGCATGTAGTATGTGTATACATTATTGCCTGAAAAATTTCATCTACTTTCTTCTCTTTGCTGAACTCTTGATTCTTAGTTTTCCAAATAACACCAAGGTTTCCCTTTCTACAGAGAGAGCAGAAGGAGTGCAGGGGGAGCAGCAGCCTCCGACTGGAAGTTGGACCAGCCCTCAGCTGCCTCCAAGGGCACAATCTGTGAGGTCACCTGCAACTTATAAAAAACAGCTTAATGAGGAACTTCAGCGGCGCTCTTCAGCAGTATTAGGTAAAACAGTGATTTTATCTCATGCCTCTCTGTATGCTTTTTCCCAACTCATTGTGTTTCCTAGTTTGTTTATTGTCTTAACTTTTCTGCTATTTGTAATAGTCAAATACTCTTCAGAATAAATAAAATTGTTACCTACTTAGTGAAAGAACTTGTTGACATTTGAAAATAAATTCTTAAACATGTCCTTAACCTTAATTTAGGCAAGGCACAGATCTCTTGACTGTTTTTTGATTAATTACTTGCTTGGGTTTCAGCAGAAAACAGTTTGCAACATCCCCAGGAGAACACAGGTTAGTTTCAACTTTGTGAATTAATTCTGCATCTATTCTTGGGATGCTAGTGAAATGTGATATGCATGCCTCTAGCTGCAGAACTCTGTCAACTTCATTAGTGGGCTGCCACTTGGTCTTGGCCTTCTGTTTTTGTTGGGGTGCAAACTGTCACATTGGCTGGATAAACTGAGCTCCTCTTGCTTGTTTGTTTTCCATCCTGGTTTCCTACCCAGTCATCTCCTTCATTTTCATGCTCTTCTGATGAGTATGGCTTGGTGATCAGTATCAGAATTGAGAGGCTAGAGAAAGGTTTATGTTTTCTTTCTTTTTTTTTTTTTTTTTTAGACAGAGTCTCACTCTGTTGCCCGGGCTAGAGTGCCATGGCGTCAGCCTAGCTCACAGCAACCTCCTGCCTCAGCCTCCCAAGTAGCTGGGACTACAGACATGAACTACCATGCCTGGCTAATTTTTTTCTATTTTTAGTAGTTTGGCTAATTTCTTTCTACTTATAGTAGAGACTAGGTCTGACTCTTGCTCAGGCTGGTCTTGAACTCTTGAGCTCAAGCAATCCTCCCGCCTTGGCCTCCCAGAGTGCTAGGATTACAGGCATGAGCCACTGCACCTGGCTGGTTTATGTTTTATTTCTGTTAGATTGTTAAATTCAACAAAGTGGTTATCCAAGTCAGGGTGATGGAAGAAAGAAAGTGGGTGGTGGCATGATGAGAGGGGAAAGGATGCAGCTTTGGGAATCAGGTGTCCCTGAACACCAGATCTGGTCTGGTGTAGCTAATCTTCCTCATGAGGTCCTTGAGAGAAAAGTAGGTGCAGGTAATGGTGGTTGGTAGAAGGATATTTTATTGCTAGTTGAGACTTGGTCTACCAGGAGAATAAGGAGAAGCCATGCAGGTAAGAGTTTCTACCTAAGGACTAGAGCAGAGCTGGCTATATCACCTTCCCAGGTATTCTAGGGCAATGAACCTCAGCCTGGGTTACATTAGCCATTTGGAAGGAAGAATCTAGAGGGGAGAAGGGAGAAAGGAGTTCTCCTTTATTGCAAATCATCCACTTTTATCTTTAACCCAGTAAACTCTGCTTAGCTCTTGAGTCTGACCCATGGCAACACTGTTTCTGTTGAGGGAGCTCTTTTGACTAAATCCTATGCTTAATTCAGCATAGGATACAATTTTATTTGTGAAACTGAGGAGTTAGACTAGAATCTGATCTTTTAGGGTAAATTGGCAGCCTGCCAAACCTTACTTTGGTGTTTTGATAAACTTGAATTTAAATATCTCTAGATGGATTCATTCATTCTCCCTAGTAATCCTCTATTACCCCTCAATAGAATTCCGCTTCTCCCCTCTCCCGTAACCTGTTTTGCCACGATGGTATATAAGCTTCTGAACCTTGGGGGCGTGGGTAATCACCCTGTGGTTTTCCCTGTGTACACATTAATAAAATTTGTGTGTCTCTTCACCAAAAAAAAAAAACAAAAAACAAAAAAACAAACAAAAACCCTCTGGGTGGAGCTTGTAATACCTAGTTTGCTGTGGTTCCCACCATCTTCTTTTATCAAGTCTCCTTGATTCTTCGATTCTACCACAGAGGCTTTTGAGCTTCAGAAGCTTGGGACTGTTTGGCCAGTCAAGTTCCTTTCCCTAGTAAAAGGCTGTAATTCTACAACTTACTAGCTTTCTGACCTTAGGAAAGTTATTTAATTTTCTAATGTCTATTTTGTAAGAAAAGCAGCTACGATTATTTGCCTAAAGGCAAAGAGCTAGATCAGATTTTCTCTCAGGGTCTCTTTCATCTTCATCCAAGATCTGTGATTCTCTCGCCTCTAGGAAGGGACTTGCTTATCCTTTTTCAGTGGATGGTGCTATTAATATTCTCTTATAGTGGCTAAATGCAAAGGGCTTCACAGTTTATTGTGCATAGCCATTATGATCCTAATAGCTTAATCTGTCTCCTTTTTAAACTTGTAAATCATGGAGAGTTGCTTTATGTTTTGAGATTCAAGAAAAATTTGTTCATTCTAATACTTATACATTAGTAACAACACATCTGAGGTATATGCTGAAACTAGGATATAATTATAGAAAGGTAAAAGTTTTCTAAAATAGGTGCATGTGAACTAAAATAAAATCTTAAGCTCCCCAGCTGACTGAAGGACCCCTTCTAGGTGAAAAGGACCCTATAAATACTGTAAAACTGAGTTGGTGGCCACGAGAAGGGAGGTCAGACCTGCCTAGTCCTGCCCTTCCCTTCTGGGAGATATCCTTTGCACCTTATTAACAGGCCTAAGGCTATGCAAGCTAAAGTTTAAACCACACCTGCAGGTTCTCAATTTACTTTAACAGATCTCTTGAGTCTATGTCTGGTGACTTGTCTCTGATTAACAGACTTTCTTATCTTAATTTAAAACATTCCAAACCTTTAGACAAAGCTTCATTTCCTTAACCAATTACAAATCAAAGAATCTTTAAAGGCATCTTGAAATCTGTAATCCCCCACTTAGAGATGGCCTGCCTTTTTGGGCCAAACCAATGGTACGTCTTTCACGTATTGATTTGTGACTTTACATGTAATTTCTGTCTCCCTCAAATGTATAAAAACAAACTGTAAACCAACCACAGGGAGACGACTTGCTCAAGGGTTCTTGGGTGTGGCTCTCCAGGCCATGGTTGCACATAGTTGGCTCAGAATAAACCTATTTAAATTATTTTACAGAGTTTGAGTTCTTTTCCATTGACATGCAGTTTAGATGAATCTTTCATTAATTAAATTATCTTGGGAAGTTCTTTATAGATTTAGATTGAGATATCAACCTCTCATTTTTTTGTAGTCCTTTCTTTCCTACTCAACTAAAACAAAGACCTAAAACGAACCTAGCAAATAATGAGTTTGAGGAATATTCAGGGTAGGGTATTTTCCATCTTTCTTTGCCCATTTACTAAACCCGTTATTAGGTAAATGGGTTTAATCTAATAAGATTTTCATTCCTTTTGTCAAACCACCTTCACTTCATCCTTATGTTTTGTAACTGCTAGAGCCAGAATAGGTAGAAATTTCAGTTGTAATTTTGGTTTAAAATAAGGAAATAGTAAGTGGAAACTTTGGTAGGCATACCCCATTCTGGCCACAAAGCTGGAATTTGAGCTTGTTTTATTATTGATAGAATTGGCTTCAGTATTGTTATTTAAAGTGTAAGAGATCTCTTTCAGTTTGGAGCTGCAGGGTTGGGTTAAGTGACAGAGGGGTAGGATTGGAGTTCTGTCAATTTTCTGACAGTTTTAATCTACATGGGCATTGGTCATATTTTACTATGACAAAATTTACCATCCTGGATGTTGTGAAGTCTGTCAAAATCTTTGGGGGCTAGGCTATTAAATTTCTTTCTGATCTGCTGCATGAGACTTTTGGATATATGGTCTTAAGACAGAACTGAACTGTTTGATCCTATTGCTTTCTTGTTTGACTTTAGAGACCAGGCTGAGTTAACCCCCTGGGATTGCCTTTTCTTCTGCTAAATTTCTAGCAGTTATTTATTTTAGATTGAGACCAAAGGGTGCAAGAAGTCATTAATGAATTCTGGGCCATGTAAGTGATGTTCCCATTTCAGACCTCAAAACCATCAATAGTCTCAGATAGTGCTTGTCTTAAGTGGCTCTTACTTGCTTGTGAAAATCTTTTTACATGATAAAAAGAAATACTTTCAATAGCCTCTTACTCTTAATAAAGACTAGTTTTAACTGTAATCCTTATCACTGGTTGGGAGAACATAAGTATTAATATATACTAACAATAAGAGGCCCTTGGCATCACATTTATACCTTTTTGTAGATAGATAGATAGATACTAGAGACTGTTAACTATGATTTTTTTTTTTAAATCTGACTCAGACACAAGAAGGAAAGCAGAACCTACCTTTGGAGGTCATGACCCTCGTACAGCTGTTCAGCTGCGAAGCCTCAGTACAGTATTAAAACGACTCAAGGAAATCATGGAGGGGAAAAGTCAGGTACTGGAAGATTACTTATTAAGCACTTACAGGGATGCCATACTCACTGAAGATGGTGTAATGAATGCCACTTGAAAAACAGTTTAATAGTTTTTCTAGCTATAAACACTGTATTTTTACACATAAGTTCTTAATTTTAATGTGGTTTAATTTATCAGTTTTTCCTCCTTTATGCTTAGTGCCTTTTGTGTTCTGTTTAAGAAGTCAGGCCAGGGTCAGTAGATACTCTATATTTTCTACAAGAGATTTTGTTTTATTTGTGTGAAGTATAGAGGTCAAGCCATTGTTTTTGAAAAGATCATCCTTCATCAGTTGCATTGTAAATCTCATCATTAGTCCCATATATGTGTGAGGGTATGCCAGGGTTCTCTTTGGTGTTCTATAGCTTTATTTTTTTCTATCTTTGCACCAATACCCTGTCTACAATTGTAGCTTGAGAATAAATGCTGACGACTGGTGATGTAAGTCCTTCAATTTTGTTGTTCTTCAAGATTGTCTTGGTCATTTTGGCCTTTTGGGTTCCCCTGTGAATTTTTGTATTAGCTTGTCATTTTCTGTAAAAGAAAGCTAGGATCTTATTTGCCATTGCATTCTTAATAAATAGTATTTTCAAGGAACCTTCATTCATTTTTATTGTTTCAGGATAGTGACCTTAAACAATACTGGATGCCAGATAGCCAATGTAAAGAGTGCTATGACTGTAGTGAGAAATTTACAACCTTTAGGCGCAGACATCATTGCCGACTATGTGGGCAGATTTTCTGCAGTCGTTGCTGTAATCAAGAAATCCCTGGAAAATTTATGGGTTATACAGGTAAGTGTATTTTATTGACAGTTTTACAATTTTTAAAGGTCATAATTATAAATAGTCATAATATAGGACCAGTATTAAGCCAATTTGTGTTTTGGGCATTATGTGTAAGATACAGGGGCACAAAGGTGAGGGAGATACAGCTTTGCTTTTAAGAACTTTATAGTTGCTTAATAAAATAGCTGGGAATTTTCATAAATAACTAGAGTAAAAGTGTATGGTAGATGCTAGCAAGAAACTATAGGAGCACTAAAACTTATTAGATAAGATTATTAGCATAGAGTAGATTACTAATTTTATCACTATGAGAGTTTTCATTTTACAAAGTACAAAGCTTCCTTGCCTTGTATGAGACACTGTGCTTTGGCAAATTGTATCTTGCTTAAGTTCTTCCATAAGGAACATAGTCAAATTTTGGCAATACAGAAAAGTTATTTGTTGAGATAGAAAAAAACTGAACAATGGTTTGTGTATTTTTTTTTTTTTTTTCTGGAGACACAGTCTCACTCTGTTGCTCCAACTGGAGTGCTATGGTGTCAGCCTAGCTCACAGCAACTTCAAACTCCTGGGCTCAAGCCATCCTACTGCCTCAGCCTCCCGAGTAGCTGAGACTGCAGGCATGTGCCACTATGCCTGACTAATTTTTTCTATATATTTTTAGTTGTCCAGATAATTTCTTTCTATTTTTAGTAAAGACGGGGTTTCACTTTTATTCAGACTAGTCTAGAATTGCTGACCTTGAGCGATCCTCCCACCTTGGCCTCCCAGAGTGGTTGGTGTGTGTATTTATACAGTGATTTGGGAGTGAAAGGTGGGCAGAAGTTATCCAATCCAGAGTTATACACTTTTAACATCTTTCATATTATTTTTGTTATTGTGCAGATCTTTCTCTTGGTCTTTATCACTTTCTTTTTTTTTCACCTAACGTACCTCAGAGTTCAGAGTTCAGAATTCCATTATCTTTCACCCAGATTATGACTCTAGTTTTTAAAAAACTTTGTTTCCTATCTTTAATTCATTTTTCATACTCTAGTTAGTAATCTTTGTAAAATCTAATTTGATCATGTCAGGTTATTTCCCTATGTAATACCCTTTTAGAACTCCCATTACTCTTAGGATACAACTTGTCTTGTTAATATGAACGGTGTATTAGTTTCCTAGGGCTGCCATAACAAAGTACTATAGACTAAGTGGCTTAGAACAACAGAGATTTATTTCTTTGCAGTTCTGGAGGCCAGATCTATCATTACACAGGTCAGGGAACCAATGTAGGGATTCTGCCAGTTGTCTGTTCCAAATATATATTCCAGAACTGTGGAAATAACCACAGAATAGGTTTGGAGACCCACTAAATCCACTGTGCAGTGGACCTGATCTAAAATTCCACTGACCACCAGACCTCCATAAGCCTCTACTCTGACTGGTGGACCACAGTGATGTTTTGGATCTCCTGGACTTAGTGTGTTTAGAGTCAATGTCTAATAATCCCTTAAAAGTTTGACCATTTCCTTCTTCTAAATGTATAGTAACCTCAGTAAAAGGCTATAAATCCCTTTGGGGAAGGCTGGTAGAAAGATTAACAGTATAAATTTCTGGCAGTGCAGTGGGGTTCTTTCTTAAGAGGACCCAGTCTACTTTTATTCAAGGAGTTCTGGGTCTGTAAAGGGCTCAAGTTGGGGAATTGATTTGAGGGGGATCATGTCTCTGATTTTAATGATTCAAGTTAGACTTCTGTTACTTGCTGTAGAATTCTTCCTCTTATACAAGTCAAGTAAGAATTTAGTTGACTGCCCATCTACTTCACTTCTAGGGACAGCATGATTAACTAGCTAATGCCATAGGTCTCTGAATCAGGCTATTCTGATTACTTCTTTGGCTCTGATGTCTGTTATGATAACTGTGCCCACCTTGTCTTTGGCAATTAAGTGCTGTTACCTGGGCCCTGCCACCCTGGTATCCACATATCCCCATTGCATTTAGGTTTCCTGATTCAGGAATCTCCATAGGTGACATTTTGTGTGCCATTATTGTCACATCTCACCGTGGACTGTCAGTGTTCCCTTTACTATTGGAAATAGAGTCTTTTTTTTTTTTAGATAGTCTCACTCTGTTTTCCCTGGCTAGAGTGCCGTGGCTTCAGCCTAGCTCACAGCAGCCTCAAGTGATTCTGGGCTCAAGTGATCCTTCTGCCTCAGCCTCCCGAGTAGCTGGGACTACAGACACACACCACCATTCCCTGCTAATTTTTTCTGTATATTTTTAGTTGGCCAATTAATTTCTTTCTATTTTTAGTAGAGACGGGGTTTCAGTCTTGTTCAGGCTGGTTTTGAACTCCTGACTTTGAGCAATCTTCCCGCCTAGGCGTCCCAGAGTGCTAGGATTATAGGCGTGAGCCACTGTGCCGGCCAGAAATAGACTCTTTAGTGCCTTTAAATCTAATCATATTAGAAAAACCGATTACTGAAAACCAAGAATCAACTCAGAAAACTCATCTTTAAGATTCTTTTGCTCTAGAATCATTCTTGGTACCAAAATCTGTTTTAGAGTTCTCCAGAGAAATAGAACCAATACGGTACCACCCTGTACAAACACAGGCACATATTTATATATAGAGAGAGGTTTACTTTAAGGAATTGGTACAAGTGATTGTGGGGGCTGGCGAGTCTGAAATTCTCAGGATAGGACAGCAGGCTGGAAACTCCTGTAGGATTTCTATCTTACAGTTTTGAGATAGAATTTCTTTTTCTTATGGAAACTATAGTCTTTGATCTTAAGACATTCAAATGATTGGATGAGATTCACCCACATTATGGGTGAGTAATCTGTTTTACTTAAAGTCAACTGACTGTGCAATGTTAATCACATTCCCCCCAAATACTTTCACAATAGCATCTAAGCTAGACCAAACAACTAGTTTAGTCAGGTTGACACATAAGATTAAGCATCCCAAATGGGCTAGTATATGCTGGGCACCACTGTACATTGTGACCCTGAATAAATAAATGTAAAATATCTAGAAAAATGTCTGGCACATAGAAAGGGATTGATGACTGTTATTATTGTTGGTAATACTAATATATGCATCTGTCATGCAGCTTTTTAAATTTTTATGTGTCTGTTGCCTCCAGTGGACTACAAGTTCTTTGATGCCAGGGCTGTGTCATATCAACCTTTGTATTCACATCACATTATATAGGCATGCACTTAATAGGACCTTGCTAATGAAGGATCTTAATGAAATGAAAACTTTTCCGGTTACGTTTGGCTCTGTTTATTAATTTGATAATTTTTCTTCTAATAACTGACTGGTTAAGGGAGATTTTCTTTATAGTCTAAGAAACAAACCAGGCTTTGTTGGGGTTTATTGAAGGTCTTTTTGCAGGGAGTAATTTCACTTCCTCAGCACAATTCTACTTTGGTTGGCTGGTGATAGGACATTCTAACACTTTCATTTATCCTAGACTGGAGTTTACTTTTCTTTCTTTTTTTTCTTTTTTTCTTTTTTGGTGGAGGGGTGCTGATTGAAGTGGTTATATTTTTCTTTAGATTTGAATGCATTTCATTTGTTAAATTGTGTTGGAAATTAGTAAGGTAACAAGTGACACTTTATTTTGATTTTACTTGTATAATTTAATAAAATTGACTACTATGTAATAGTCTTAAAATGGCCGGGCGCAGTGGCTGACGCCTGTAATCCTAGCACTCTGGGAGGCTGAGGTGGGAGGATTGCTCGAGGTCAGGAGTTTGAGACCAGCCTGAGCAAGAGCAAGACCGTGTCTCTACTAAAAATAGAAAGAAATTAGCTGGACAACTAAAAATATATAGAAAAAGTTAGCTGGGCATGGTGGTGTGTGCCTGTAGTCCCAGCTACTTGGGAGGCTGAGGCAGAAGGATCATTTGAGCCTGGGGGTTTGAGGTTGCTGTGAACTAGGCTAACACCATGGCACTGTAGCCTGGGCAACAGAGTGAGACTCTGTCTAAAAAAAAAATAGTCTTAAAATGAAAAAACTTAAAGGCCATTTATTATACTTGTTAGTAATTATGGTAAAAAAACCCACAATATAGTTAACTTTTAGAAGTCTTTTGTATAACTTCAGTTTTATAATATTAGTGGGAAAAATTTAGGGAAAATTGTTAAATAACATGCTATTAGTATGGTTTAATTATTGTACTTCCTTTTTTAGTACACTGAAATGTTATAGAATCACTCAAAACGTTACAGAAAAACAAGGTATAAATGAAAACTTATATTTGGGCAGGGCTCATCCTAACAGAACATATTTAGAAGTATTAAATAACTTTGCCCTCCTCAAAATATTTCATTTCTATCCTAATTTTCACCATAGGAATTTTTTTTATAGTTTTTACCTCCATATATTATATTGTATATAAGGCCAATTTCTATTAGCTTGTTTTTAAAATTGTGCCCCCCTTGTGGAGGCCACTCTTCAGGGCCTCACAAAAATTTTGCCTATGGAAAATATATTGTTTCCATTTGTGTTGGTTTGTTTATTCTATTAAAAAATGTTTTTCCTTGAAACTCCTTTTGGTGATAGATACCTTATTTCACTTTTGCAACCTTGAAAAATATGCTCTCTTACACAGAATCTTCTAGTATTATCGAGTCATATTTTCTTAATTTGTTAGAAATATTTGAGGTAATTTAGACACCTGCATGAATTTACTGTAGTGATGGTTCTTAAAATATATAACCGAGCTAACAAAATTATTTCTCTCCTTTAAAATGTCTTTTTTGGTAATCTTATAGACATTCATTTCCCTTTTATTATCAATAGGTTAACTATTAACCCAAGGATTTAAAGTGTTTTGTTAAGTAATCTATTACTGGTATCTTTTACTTAACTTTCTTTCTTTTTTTTTTTTCTTCTAGGCGACCTCCGAGCTTGCACATATTGTAGAAAAATAGCCTTAAGTTACGCTCATTCCACAGACAGTAATTCCATTGGGGAAGACTTGAATGCTCTTTCAGATTCTGCTTCCTCTGTGTCTATACTTGATCCGAGTGAGCCACGAACACCTGTAGGGAGTAGAAAAGCCAGCCGTAACATATTTTTAGAGGATGATTTGGCCTGGCAAAGGTATTGTTACTTAAATGTAATTTTATTTAAATCTGAGAAATACTGATAGTCTTCTGACCTCTGAGTGCTATTGGTTAACATTTACCTTCTTTGAGTTGTTTCCTGAAAATTCATTATTTTCTCCTTTTTCCTTGACTTGCTTCCAGAAGGATTATAGATGTTTATGGATAGTGATAATATTGACTAATTAGAATGTAAGCTCTATGAGAAAAGACTTTATACCTTTCTTTTCACTATTCTACCCCAGGTAGCAGGAACAGGGCATGGCGTGTGTGTGTGTGTGTGTGTGTGTGTGTGTGTGTATAATCTTGTTATATTTGTGAGTTGGCAACAGAAGTCATTGAGACTTATAATTCCTAATGTAGCCTTCTTTGGGAAGGAGAATGCTTATAACATTTGTATTTGTAATATTTCAAAAAAAATTAGATTTTTTTCCTTCTGAAGGAACATTTCATGTTTTTCTGTATGTCTAAATATGCTGCCCTGCCTTGTAGTAGAGGGTGCTACTAATGCTTTTTTGGAAGTTACCTGGAGTTGTTTGAATCAGAATCTTAGGTTCATCTGTTTCTGATTTTTTTCTTTAGCTAAATTATTTTCTTAAGCATAATACTAAATCTGGCTATGTCAAAGAGCTTAGATTTTTAACTAACATCTCTCTAATAAGTTATTTTCTCAGTCACCCATTAAGGGAGTAAAGAATTAGCATATAATCAATCTAAACAGAAGTAAAAATTAATTAATTACAGCTACATTCAACATGTGTGAATCTCAGGGACATAATATGGAGCAGAAAAGAAAATCATCTAATCATATATCCAGTAAGGTTTAATTTATATAAAATTTAAAAAATTGTAAAACTAATGCACTGTCTAGGGATACAAACATGGTGAAACTAAAAGAAAAGGAAGACAATGATACATGTAAAATTTATAACTGGATTTGTGGAGGGTTAGGAAGGAAATGAATGGTATTGGGTAGGGCACTTCACAGTCATTGGTAGTGTTCTTTTTCTTAAATTGCTTTAGGGGTACTTTTGGTGTTTATGGCATTGTGATTCTTTATATTTTACGTATATTTTGTAAATTTAAAAAATTGATTCTATATTTAATAAAACAATACAAAGTATAGGGATTCTTCAGTTCTTGCTTACTATAGTTAGTAATTCTTTTTGGTTGTGCTTGGTCCGATTGTGGGAGCCCAGAATTGGCAAGTGTGATTTAACAAAACAAACCAGGTATGAAAACTTCCTGAGAGATGGTAGGGTAGATGTCAAAGGTAGAATAATAGTTAAAATTTAGGTTCTGTGCTAATTGTTTAATGTTCATTCTCTTTTAATCATCATATCTCTGTAGTAGGCACAGTTTTCTCCTTTTGACAGATATGGATGCTGAGGTTCAGAGAGATTAAGTAATGAACCCAAGGTCACACAGCTAGTAAGAGATAGAACCTGCACTTGGATCTAGCTTTGTCAGACTCTGTGGTGCTATTGCAGTGGGTTATGGGGACTGAGAATAAAATATTTGAACTCAGATTTCCCTCCAAAATCACTTCCATCTTGTATATATGACGTGAAAAGGAGTTTTGTAAGTCACCCATCGAACCAGTTTTATTATTTGATTGGCATTCCCTATACTTAAGATTTTTCTTTATCATTCCTTTGGCATTTGTTATTCTGAAGATAGAAACCATGTGTTGTTTCCACCATAGTGAAAGGAAGAACAAAAATGACTCAGAATCTCATTATTACAGGGAAAAATATTTAATATGTTTTTTAATATTAAAGTACCTCATTGAAATTGCCTCTTACTGTCTTGAATGATCCCAGTATTTTCCCATTTTCTTTATAGCTTGATTCATCCAGATTCCTCAAATACTACTCTTTCAACAAGACTTGTATCTGTTCAAGAGGATGCTGGGAAATCTCCTGCTCGAAATAGGTAAACTGCCAAATGAAAACACTGTATTTTGTGTCTGATTTTTATTCCTTTTCATAGTAATGAGTAGAACAATTAGAGTTTAAAAAGGGTGAGATTAATTGTCATATTTTTTTTAGCTCTAAAAGCTGAATTAAACTATCCTTTCCTTTTTGCTAGTCAGCTTTCGCTATTATCAGTGTTTTTTTGAATATTCCCCATTGGTTTGAGAGCTTGAAACCTACAACATCCTCTGTCTTCTAGTTTAATAAGACCTGAACAATGTGAGGAATGAGCTATGTGGACATTTTGTGGATTAGTGTACCAGGAAAACCAAAATAGCATAGCAAATTCCTGAGAGAGAACACACCTGGCAAGGAATAACAAGGAATTCTGTGTGGCTGGAGTAGAACAGTCTTAAAATTAATTTTGAGGACTTTTCATTTACTCTGAGTGAGATGGGAAGCTATTGGAGAGTTTTGCTTTTTTGTAGTTAAATGTTTTTTTTTTTTTTTTTTTTGAGACAGAGTCTTATTCTGTTGCCCAGGCTAGAGTGAGTGCGTGGGTCAGCCTAGCTCACAGCAACCTCAAACTCCTGGGCTCAAGCAATCCTGCTGCCTCAGCCTCCTGAGTAGCTGGGACTACAGGAATGCACCACAATGCCTGGCTCATTTTTTCTATATATATTAGTTGGCCAATTAATTTCTTTCTATTTATAGTAGAGACGGGGTCTCGCTCTTGCTCAGGCTGGTTTTGAACTCCTGACCTTGAGCGATCCACCTGCCTCAGCCTCCCAGAGTGTTAGGATTACAGGCGTGAGCCACTGCGCCTGGCCTTGTAGTTAATTTTTAATTGTTTTGAAAAACTTTCAAACTTGCAAAAAGTTGTAGAAAAAAAAATATATATATTCTTCATTAAGATTTGCTAATTTTCATTTTGCTTTACTGTCACTTTTTATGTATTAATAATATACATTTTTTGAACCATTTTGAAAGTTGCAGACATCATCAATTTTTACAATTTTTTAGTTAATAAACTTTATTTTTTTTTAGCAGTTTTAGGTTGACTGTGAACTTGAACAGAAAGTTTCAATATAGCCTCTGTCCCCACAAATGCACCAGAGTGTTAAATTTATTGCAATCAAGTGAACCTACATTAACACAGCATTATCATCCAAAGTCCATAGTTAACTTTAGGGTTCACTCTTGGTATTGTATGTTCTATGGGTTTGGGCAAATGTATAATGACATGTAAACACCATTATAGTATTATACAGAATAGTTTCTCTGCCCTAAAAATCTGCTATGCTATGCTCCTTTTATTCATCCCTTTCTCTCCCAAACTCATGGTAATTGCTGATTTTTTTACTGTCTCCATAGTTTTGTGTTTTTCAGAATGTCATATAGTTGCAATCATAAAATATGTAGACTTTTCAGATTGGAGCTAATTTCTTTTTAGTGCGGAATAATATCCCTTGTCTGGATATAACATAGTTTATTTACTTACTGAAGTAGCTTGGTTGCTTCCAAGTTTTAGCAATTGTGAGTAAGGCTGCTGTAAACATTTTTGGGTAGGTTTTTGTGTGGACATAGCTTCAAATTCATTTGGGTAAATACCAAGGAGCATGATTGCTAGATTGTATGATACGGGTATGTTTAATATTATAAGATACTGCTAAACTATCTCCAGAGTGGCTATAGCATTTTGTGTTCCCACCAGCAATGAATGAAAATTCCTATTGCTCTACATCCTTGCTGGCCTTTGGTATTGTTAGTTTTGGATTTTGGCCACTCTAATAGTTGTGTGGTGTTATCTCATGTGATTGACCTTTATATATTAATCTTGTGTGTCCTGCCACCGTGCTATAGTCACTTATACTAGGAGTTCTTTTGGACAGTTTTTTTGATTTTCTATATAGATAATTGTGTCATTTGTGAACAAGGTTTTATTTTTCCCTTCCTAATCTGTATACCTTTTATTTCCTTTTCATGTTTTATTGCATTAGCTACTTTAAGTATGATGTTGAAAAGGAGTGATGAGAGGGGACATCCTTGCCTTGTTCTGGATCTTAGTGGGAAAGCCGGTAGTTTCTTCATTAAATATGATGTTAACTGTATGTTTTTTTATAGATCTTCTTTGTCAAGTTGGAGAAGTTTCTTCTATTCCTAGATTACTGAGCATTTTTGTAATGAAGAGGTGCTGGATTTTGTTAAATGCTTTTTCTATATCTATTAATATATGATCATGTGATTTTACTTATTTAACCTGTTGATGTGGTGGGTTATGTTAATTTTCGAATGTTGAATCAGCTTTGCTTAACTGGGATAAATCCCACTTGGTTGTGGTGTATAACTTTTTTTATACGGTGTTGGATTGGAGATTTTACTATTTTGTTGAGGATTTTGTGTCTGTGTTCGTGAGAGACATTGGTCTATAATTTTCTTTTCTTGTAACATCTTTGGTTTAGGTAGTAGGGTAATGCTGGCCTCACAGAATGAGTTTTGAGGTATTTCCTCTCAATACTACATGAGTGATATATCCTTCCCAATCTATCATTCCAGAAAGGATGTGATAGAGGTTTATTCCACTGGTGATGCTGACTTGATCTGTTGTTAAAGTTGTGTCCTGGGTTTCTCTGTTGTAAAGTTACCATTTTCCCTTTTGTAGTTAATAAGTAATATGTGGGAGAGATACTTTCAGACTGCATAAATATCCTTTTTCTTACCAATGTTTGACCCAATAGTTTTAGTATCCAATTATGATTTTTGCTCAAGTCAAATGTTACTATAATATTTGCAAAATGGTGATTTTCTAATTCGATTATTTCTTCTACAGTAATTAGTTGACATTCTACTCTAAAAAAGCTTTACCTTCATGGAGAGTTTTGTGTGAGGAGTTGGAGGAATGATATGATCTGAATTATGTTTGGAAAGAAGCACTCTGGCTGCTCTGTTGAGTAGGACGTAAGAGCAAAAGCAGGGAGACCACTTAGAAAGCTGGTGCTATAATCCAGGCATGAGGATTGATTTAGATCAGAGTGGGGGAGGTGGATGAGAAATGGTCAGATTCCAGATATATTTAGATTGTAGAGCTAATAGAATTTACTAATAAATTGGATATAACCAGAAAGAGAGACATCAAACAGGACTCAGGATTTAGCCTCAGTTGTTAGAAGGATGGAAATGCTATTTATTGAGATGGGAAAAGACTGGGAGGAGCAGTTTGGTTTTAGACATGTTGAATTTGAGATCTCTTCTATAGACATCCACATCAAATAGATAGTTGGATATATGAGTCAAGAATTTAGGAGAGGGGTATAGGCTGGAGATATAGACTGGGGTATTGTTCTTCTGTGGATGGTATTTAAAGCTATGAACCTAAATGGAGATTATCAAGAGAATGTGTGTTACAAGAGAAGAAATAGGCTGGGTGCGGTGGCTCACGCCTGTAATCCTAGCACTCTGGGGGGCCGAGGTGGGAGGATTGCTTGAGCTCAGGAATTGGAGACCAGCCTGAGCAAGAGCGAGACCCTGTCTCTACTAAAAGTAGAAAAAATTAGCTGGGCATGGTGGCACGTGCCTGTAGGTAGTCCCAGCTACTGGAGAGGCTGAGGCAGGAGGATCGCTTGAGACCAGGAGTTTGAGGTTGCTGTGAGCTAGGCTGATGCTGCGGCATTCTAGCCTAGGCAAGAGAGCGGCATTCTAGCCTAGGGAAGAGAGTGAGACTCTGTCTCAAAAAAAAAAAAAGAAAAAAGAAAAAAGAAGAAGAAATAAGGACCAAGGATTGAGACTGCAGAGATCAAGAGGAACCAGAAAAAGAGACTGAGAAGGAGAGGCCAGTGAGGTGACAGCAACATTTGACTAATTTTCTTTTATTTCTATTGTCGGTATGTTAGAATATGTGCACAGATGGGTAGAAGGTTAGAGAAGCAGAATGCATGGGTAATGTACCCATTGGAAAAGAGATTTAAATTAATTGAATAATACATCATGCCACTTCTTTCACTGAAGGAATATGCTGAGAGATGAATAACTGATTATTTAAAAAAATTGCTTATAGACTATTTCTTTGATATTAGTGATTTCCCATTAACTGACTCTTTGCTAAACTTTGCTCTTTGCTGTGAATAATTTCTTTTCCTTTCCTATTTTTTGAGATACTATCTCACTATGTTGCCCATGTTGGTCTTGAATTCCTGGGCTCAAGCGATCCTTTATCTCAGCCTCCTAAGCAGCCAGGACTACAGGCTAATTTCTTAAATTATTTAAAATATATCTTTATCTTTCTATTAGGGAAATCATTGTTTTCAGTTAAGACCTAGATTTAAATGGCAACCCAGACATTTATTAGCTGAGTTACTTTAGACAAATTCCCAATATTTGATTCTTGCTTTTCTTGATCTGTAGAGCTAGTAATACCTACTCCATAGGATGCTGTGAAGATTAAATGAGGGAGGATACATATATTGCACTAATGAATGAGTTATTTAGTGCCTAACAAATCATAGATGCTCCTGGTGTTTATCTTTTATTTGGAAGCTAACGTGAGTTTCATTTTTTCTAGGTAGAAGTTAATTAAATTTCTAGCTAAATTTTTTTTAATGATAAAAACTTGCTCAATGCTATTGATATAGTACTCTAAGAGGCTGAGGCAGATGGATCGCTCAAGGTCAGGAGTTCGAAACCAGCCTGAGCAAGAGCAAGACCCTCTCTCTACTATAAATAGAAAGAAATTAATTGGCCAACTAAAAATATATAGAAAAAATTAGCCGAGCATGGGGTGGCACATGCCTGTAGTCCCAGCTACTTGGGAGGCTGAGGCAGAAGGATTGCTTGAGCCCAGGAATTTGAGATTGCTGTGAGCTAGGTTGATGCCACAGCATTCTAGCCCCGGCAACAGAGTGAGACTCTGTCCAAAAAAAAGAAAAAAAAAAAGAAATGAATTTTCTCTGTAACTTTATTTATTGATGAAGAATTTACACCTATGATTTCACTTTTTGTTTTTATTTCTAGATCAGCCAGCATTACTAACCTATCACTGGATCGATCTGGTTCTCCTATGGTACCTTCATATGAGACATCTGTCAGTCCACAGGCTAACCGAACGTATGTTAGGACAGAGACCACTGAGGATGAACGCAAAATTCTTCTGGTACTGGTCCAGTATCTTTAACCTATTTCTAGTTTTGAGCATATAAAATGTTTGTCTCCCTGATTTTTTTTTTTTTTTAATTTTTTTATTTTGGCATATTATGGGGGTACAGATTTTAAGGTTTCAATAAATGCCCATTTCCCCCCCTACCCTGATTATTTTTTAAAAGAAATACATAAATGAAATAGCATATCTATTATTAATAAACAGAGAAGTCATTTGCTTAAGTTTTTACTGGGATTACCTGAGAAATAGGTCAACTATTCTGTACCCATTGCAATGATATTTTCTTTACACCTTTCATCTGGTAAGATCACCATTCAGTTGCCTATAAGAGAGCTTAATTCTTAGTTAGGTTCCAGATTGCTGTTCGAACTTGGAAACATGTTTCTTATACACATGGAAAACTTTTCAGACATTTAATACTATCTGTTTATATGAGATAATAATCAGTTGCTTATTGAATTCATCTATTTGTAAAATACTATGTTTTTAGTTACTCACCTAAGAGTGACTCAAGGAAATGGAAGATACGGCATTTGTCCTCAAGCTTACAGTTTATAAGGTAGAAATAAGAGGTAGGTCCTGTGGCATGCAGTGTAGTTCCAGTTACTTGGGAGGCTGAAGTGAGAGGATTGATTGAGGCCAGGAGTGTCAGGCTGTAGTGCACTATAATTGAGCCTGTGTATAGCTACTGGGCAACATAGTGAGACTCTGTCTCTGGGGGAAAAAAGGTAGAAATAGGATCAACAGGACAGTTCTTAACCACTTTGGTACGAGCGTCGACTATAGTCGATAGCCACAGGTGAATGTGCACAGCAACTTTAGCCGACAGCCGTGATATGACTTTTCTAATTTTTCATTTATCAAAATAAAATTGGGAACATTTAAAAATAATGTAATGAAAACATATATGTATATGTTACCTAGTAAAGCTGCCTGTAAAGTAAAACAAGCTTTCAGTGCTTTAAAGCTTTCCTCATCACACAAGAGCAAAACGGATTCGTTGTCAATGCATAGCACAAACTGTCTTGTGGACTATAAGTGCCGGCTGTGGGCAAGGTTTCGCGGCTGTGAGCGCTGTACCGAAGTAGTTAATAGTAAAAGAAATAATACTATCTTATAAAGAAATCCAAATTGAATTTCCTTTCATGGATCTAAAAATCACAGGAAAGCATCTGAAAAGGTACGTAGCATTCTTCTCAGTAGTACTTATTTACTCTTCATGTGATTGTAGGACAGTGTTCAGTTAAAGGATCTGTGGAAAAAAATCTGCCATCATAGCAGTGGAATGGAGTTTCAGGATCACCGCTACTGGCTGAGAACGCATCCTAACTGCATCGTTGGGAAGGAGTTAGTTAACTGGCTAATCCGAAATGGACACATTGCTACCAGGTATTACAATCTTAAAAAAGAAGTTTTTACATTATTTTTAAATTTATTTTTAATAAGGACACGTATTTGAAGATGTAAGAGTAACAGATTTCTTTGTGGTTTAGGGTGTTCTTTGCTTTTATGCATTTGATGGTTCGAGATACTAATAACTCAACCCTTCTCCTATCTGGGTTTTAACCAATAGAGAATAGAGGCAACGAGTCAAATGGAGTCATAATTTACCTTATTAAAAATGGAAGTGCAGTAATTTCCAAAACAGAACTCTTGATTGGAGAATATAGATAGCTATGGAGTAAGGCAAAAGGATTCTCCTGCTGTCCTCTAATCTAGTGCTTAGAATTGGGTCTTTAAGCTACATCTAGAAGTCCTACCCTACCTCACAAATCATTTCTGAAAAACAATGACAGGTCCTGTTATCTTTCAAGTTATTATAACATATCCCTTAGCTTTTACTGTTTGCTCAGATTAGCTACTCTTCCTCTTATGGGAAAAAACAGGTACATAAATAGCTTTAAGCAGTGAAGCCCTGGGTTCCAATTTTGGTCATCTCTTCTTTTAGCTTTGCACTTTCTGTCAAGTTATTCAATCTCTGAGATCTTTCTAACATGAGGAAAATATATTGTCCTGTGACTAAGCTGTGAGGATAAAGTGAAATAAATATTGGCTAAAATGCTTTATAAATTGTGAAATGCCATATATTGCAATGTGTTATTAAGTGTCTATTTCATGTAGATTTGTATATATTTTATACCTATATCTGTAATATTTAATATTGTTTTCTCATCAAGACTGAGCTCCTCCTTGAGGGTAGGAATCATGCTATTCTCAACATGTTTTTACTCTTCTAGTAAAACAAGGGTGTGCATGCATTCAGTACTCAGTATATACTTGCTGTAATTAAAATTAAGTTTTGTTAAGACTGCCTTACCAATAGGTTCTTCTCCATTACTATGGTACCTGGAAGAATCTTTTAATTTGTTTCAAGTCTTTCTTGTTTTTATTCCTTACCTATCCAAGGATCATTTGAAATTCCAACTCTGATTAGAACTGAAAAAAAAAAATTAAGGTTGTATCTTATATTATAAATTATTGAAATTATTTTGCCTGACTTTTAAAACTTTATTTTCATGCATCTTGATTCAGGGCACAGGCTATAGCAATTGGACAAGCAATGGTTGATGGACGTTGGCTGGATTGTGTTAGTCATCATGACCAGATTTTCAGAGATGAGTATGCACTGTACAGACCACTGCAGGTACTTTCCAGTGTTTACGGCTCATAAGAATATAGCAAGCTTGTTTTGATGTCTTTATCAGTAGGAATAAAAAGTAGTTTAGTTACCCAAAGATCCTTTTTTTTTTTTTTTTGAGACAGAGTCTCACTCTGTTGCCTGAGCTACAGTGCCATGGCGTCAGCCTAGCTCACAGCAACCTCCAACTCTGGGCCTCAAGTGATCCTCCTGCCTCAGCCTCCCAAGTAGCTGGGACTACAGGCATGCACCACCATGCCTGGCTAATTTTTTCTATATATTTTTAGTTGGCCAATTAATTTCTTTCTATTTTTAGCAGAGATAGGGTCTTGCTCTTGCTCAGGCTGGTTTCGAACTCCTGACCTTGAGCAATCCTCTCACCTCGGCCTCCCAGAGAGCTAGGATTACAGATGTGAGCCACTACACCCAAAGATACTTTTTTAAAATATGTTTTTCCTGCTGTTTCAGGAAAGTTAAAACATTATTTAGTTGGTAGGTACTGGTGATGAGAAACCTATTAGAGTCAAACACTTGATTCAGTTTGTATGGCTTTTCTTAAATTTGTCTTATGGGTATTATATAGTTGCTTGTCATTTAATGTTTTTCAGTTTTATTAATACATTCCTATTTTCATAGAACTAATAGGAAATATACATAATAAAATGATTGAAAAATTTAATGTCACTTATTGAAATACATTTTGACTGTTTAGCACTATTGTATAATAATAATAAAATCTTTTTTTATGTTAGGGAAATGGAAATTTAAAGGTAAAACTTTTAAGAAAGATGTACTTTCACTTTTGGCTTATATAATTTGATATATGTTACATACACACATGCACACACACACATAGAGTTTACTCTTTAACAACTTGGGGGTCAGGGTTGCTGATCTTCTGAGCAGTTGAAAATCTATGTATAACTTTTGTTTCCTCTGAAACTTGATTACTAATAGCCTACTGTTGACCAGAAGCCTTAGCAATGACATAGAGTTGAGTAACACATATTTTGTGTGTTATATACATATTATATACTGTGTTCTTACAATAAAGTAAGCTAGAGAAAAGAAAATGTTGAGAAAATCATAAGGAAGTGAAAATATATTTACTATACATTAAGTAAAAATGGATCATCGTGAAGGTCGTCATCTTCATCTTCATGTTGAATAGGTTGAGGAAGAAGAGGGATTGGTCTTGCTGGGTTGGTCTCAGGGTAGCAGAGGTGGAAGAAACTGTGTCTGCATATAAGTGGACTGGAGCAGTTTAGACCCATGTTCAAGGGTCAACTGTATAATGTTTAAAACCTTTGAGAACTAAAATTAGAAACTTGATGGTTAGAAAAGACAAATGACCCCAAATTCTATTGTGGTATGATTTGTTAAAAGTTATTTTCTAGGATGTGTCCTAGAGTTCGCCCACGGTTAGAATAAGTTCTAAGCTATCTTCACTCTCAGGACTAATGAGTGAAATGAAACACTGTAAAATCTGTATCAGAATAATGGTTTGTTCATAATATGCTACTTAAGCCTTCTAGTTAATGAAAATTATAATTTTAAGAGCAGAATGCCAATATAATGTTGTTTTATAGCTTGGTTTTGTTAATTTGTTTATTTTTATATAAGTTTATTCAGTTGTTAGATTTGTAGAACTATTGGGCTACAATTTATTTGTTGTGTGACAGCCTTAACATTGTTGCCATTGAGGGTCAATTGCTTGGATCCTGTCTTAATCCTTTCAGAGTACAGAATTTTCTGAGACACCTTCTCCAGACAGTGACTCGGTGAACTCTGTGGAAGGACACTCTGAGCCATCCTGGTTTAAAGACATAAAGTTTGATGACAGCGACACAGAACAGATAGCTGAAGAAGGTGACGATAATTTGGCTAGTGAGTTTAACTTTCTAACATTTTGGTGTTTATGGGTCATGACTGTGTAAGTATAAAATGAGTGTCTTGTTTTAGCTGAAACAAGTCTATACAATTTATGGCTCCACCTAAATGTAAACATCTGATAGCAGTCTTGTCTTAGATACAGTATTTTCTTAAACATCTTGTTAGGCAACTGACATTTCTAGATTTTACTGTAGTCTGTAGTTTGCAGCAGCTTAAAAATAACTGAACTAATAATATTGCAGCAGACAACTTTCTCACCTTTTCACTTTGATATCAGACTTTTTCTCTGCAGAACCTCCAATATATTTCTTTATTTAAAAAATTGATTTTATATTTAACTTGTTCAAATTTTATTAAGTCTACACAGAAGTACATGAAAATACTGTATCCATTTTGGTATTGCACATTGGGCTTGTATATTAAAAAATCATTTTTCTCCTTTCCTCCAATACCCCGATAAAACCCATTTTTACTCCCCTCCTCTCCCTGTATTTCTTTACCCTCCCCAACACTAAAAGATTCTGCCAGTCCTAGCAAGCGCACATCAGTCAGCAGTTTCCAGTCCACAGTGGACAGTGACTCAGCTGCTTCTATCAGCCTGAACGTGGAGCTGGACAACGTGAACTTCCATATCAAGAAGCCCTCCAAGTACCCACATGTGCCCCCTCACCCTGCTGACCAAAAAGGTAGGAGGTAGTCACCATCTGGAATCCAAACACATGCTGGAGAGCTGGGCCATAGGATCTCATGTCAGCCTGTCCTTCTGGCTTCCTCTGTCCCATATGGCTGAGGAGATTTGGTGTGGGTTTTGTTCCACCCTTTCTCATTTTCCCCACACCTCCTCCTTATACCTTTTTTAGTTTATTCCTTTTATTTCTTGTTTTCTCCCTCAGTACCACCATGCCCAGTTTAAAGCTTGTAGTCTTTAAAAGGAATTACTTCTGACTGTTTTTTCTCATAATGTGCAACTTCCAAGGTGGCATTTATTTCTTTGCATTTATAACATGGATGTTCTGCTCTATTCTTTTCTCTTTCTTCATTTAATATTTTAAAGCCTATTTGCCTTTGCCGTTACCCTGTAACATAGTATTTCACTAAACCTGTTAAGGTGCTTGCACTAGATTGGGGGAAAATCATTCACACATTTCAAAACATCTTTCCACTATAATTTAAAATGCTTATTATGTATATACGATATGTATGAAATGAATTCATTCTTTATTTTTAGCTATCTTATTTGATGCTTTAGTATATTGACTCAAAAAATAATAATGGCCATATTCAAAAGACATTTGGTATAAAAGGAAAAATAATGTAAACCATTACTGAAATCTAACATAGCAGCAAGTAAGAAGAGAAATGCCTGCTTTTTAAATGGATGATGAGGTTTACTCTGTTGTGTATAATTAAAAGCCCATTTAAATCATAGCCCTAGGCTGGGCCCAGTAGCTCCCGTCTACAATCCCTGTGCTTTAGTGCTTTGAGAGGCTGAGGAGGATCACTTGAGCCCAGGAATTGGAAGCTACAGTGAGCTCTGATCATGCCACTGCACTGCAGCCTGGGTGATAAAGTGAGACTCTCAGAAAAAAAAAAAAAAAACTATAGCCCTAAAATGGCATTATGTATAAATAAATAAAAAATACTTGAGTAAATAACTATGGGATTTTATTATATTATTATCATCATTTTATATCATATTAACTAAAAAGTCATCATTACAAAGATGAAGCACTTCTTTCCATAATTTCATTTGGAGTTTGAATTTTGAACATTTAATGCTCTAAAGTTGAATTGTCTCTTCCCTTAGACTTGAAATGCTTGCCTGATTCTTTGCTACTTTCTATTTTGAGCCTAAAAATATGATCGGAAAAGAAGAAGTTCTTAAAAATAATTTGAAACAAATTTATAACAAATTTCTATAAGAAATTTCTCATAATTATCAGCATTAGCCATTATCAAGATGTGCTAAAATGGCATTGAAGAGTTATAGTAATAAAAAGGTATATCTTATTTAAAAATAAGAAATTTAGAGAGAGAGGATGTGGTAAAGTGGTCAAGGAGGAGACTTGCCTAGCCTTGACCACGAGTAAAATATATGTCTTTATGGCAGTCCTCAAAGTAGAAATTAGAAAAATGATGGTGAACATTTGGGTGAGTATGGAAGGATAGTAAAGCAGATGTGGCAGTTATGTGAGAATTATCTGTTGATGGTGGTCACATGGAGAATATTATGCTGCTTTTGAATATAAACTGATGGGTGCGAGTCAGAGGTACACATGTCAGAGGATATCTGTTCTCTGGACATATCTGTTGGCAGTTTCATTTTGCTGAAAATGGAGAATTAAGTACCCTTTTGACTTGCTAATGATTTTACATCTTGGAAAGTTAAGGAAGTTTTGAAAGTCATGAAGAAAATCATGTCAAATCTGTCATTATAGAATTTATAATAGTACAAGGTGGACCGCTGAGCATAGCGAGTCATTTACATTAGGAAATCTGACTTCAGAACTTTGGGAGAGGAATGTAACAGGAGGCCCCAATGGTGACATTTTACAGGGCAACCTCAGATTGTATCTCCAAAGAAAATAAAAGGGGAAGCACCTGCAGTTGAAAAAAAAATCATGACTCTGGAACTGCTCTGATGTCAACCCTTTTTTCCCCCCTTTTTAATTATTTTGATCTCAAAACTTTAAAAAGATTGTTTATGTGTGAACAGCAGCTTTCATATGAGGAAGAATCTGAAAGAGGAGCTAGTACTGTTAAGAAAAATGACAGGATAGCAGAAGTTCAGTTGGCACTGAGGGGTTGGCGAAAATGCCAAGGATATCTGAGAAAAGATTTATATTGTGACAGAAAGAAAAATTAGACCAGTTGTTTGGGAAAAGTGATATATTGATTGATGACTGAAAGAAGCTTGTTTTTTCTCTGTCAAGATTAATCTTATCAGGAAAGATAATGGCTAAGAGGAAAGTAAAGTTCAAGGTAATGAAGACAGAGAATGCCTGGTTATTTTAAGTAAGTCTGTTGCCAGGTTTAGGCAAACTGTATGCCAGATTATTGAAAGACTTTAGATATGGGATCTTGGAGCCAGAGTTTGTTATCTTTGAAGAATTATGAAGAGTGGCACAGAGTCTAGATGACTGGTGATAGATGCATTAAATTTTTTCGAAAAGGGATTCTTGACTTGACATTAGAAGCTGGCAAAATTGTAGAAAAGTTTAATGAACAGAATGTACTATGGTATTTAGAAAAGGGATTGGTGGTGACTGGGCACTGACATTGGTTAACCAACATATGTCATTCCAAAACAACCCCATTTCCATCTTGTATGGTGATATGAAATTGATAGGGCAGGAGAAGATGATACATTTGTGGGGGAGGCAGAGGTCAGGCAATGATGCGAGCTATGGGAAGCGGCCGTAAATACAGATGAAACTTTGCTCCCTGTCCGCTCACCTCCTGCTATGTGGCCCAGCTCTTAACAGGCCCTGGACAGGTACTGGTCTGCAGCCCTGGTGCTGGGGACCACAGCTTTAGCCTGCTTAGTTAAAAGATTATAAAGGCAGTCCAGTATTAGAAAGAAGGTAATTATTTAATTGACCACTTAGGTCACTTACAACCTTGAGAATCTATAATTTGAGGGCTTTATAAATCCCTAAGTAAATGCATCTTGCTTTCATAGTTCTCTTTTATTACCATATTAACAAGAATTATTCCTTTTACATTTTTCATGTAAAGTTGAGATATAATACAATATTTTGCTCTGTGTTGTAGTTAAGATGACTGCTGATTAATAGAAAGGAAAGATTGCAGAGTGAACTTGCATTAGTTATATAAAAGAATAATAGAATTCTTCTGCCTCTGATTTTTTTCTCTTTAAATGAATACAAATAGTTTTTATTTTTCTATTAAAACTAAAGGTGAATTGGGTGTGCAACAGAGTGAGACACTGTCTCAAAAAAAAAAAGAAACTTAAAAAAAAAGAATCTTATTAAATCTTCTTATGGATCATCCTCTATCTTTTAAGGTTGAGGAGGAAATTTGGCTTTATAAAATTGGTTGAAATATTTGTACTTTAACCAAAACTACTCATGCTTTTTATGTTATGTAAGAACACCTCTTAATTAAAGAAATTTGTAAAACTGAGTATGACCTTCTGGTTGATTAATTTTTCACTGTTGGTCTTGGAGAGTTGCACAATTATAATACATTTTATTTATGTGTTGCAAGCAGGATTCTGAACCATTCTTGGAAAGTTAGCAAGTAGAACCTAGAGAAGAAAGTGAAAATCATGGCTTCCACAAGCCTTCCTTTTTTGAGACAGAATCTCGCTTTGTTGCCCAGGCTAGAGTGAGTGCCGTGGCGTCAGCCTAGCTCACAGCAACCTCAAACTCTTGGGCTCAAGCAATCCTATTGCCTCAGCCTCCTGAGTAGCTGGGACTACAGGCATGTGCCACCATGCCCGGCTAATTTTCTGTATATATTAGTTGGTCAGTTAATTTCTTTCTATTTATAGTAGAGATGGGTCTCACTCTTGCTCAGGCTGGTTTTGAACTCCTGACCTCAAGCAATCCTCCCGCCTCGGCCTCCCAGAGTGCTAGGATTACAGGCGTGAACCGCCACGCCCGGCCTCCACAAGCCTTTAGATCTAATTTTCTGTGTATAGGAAAATGTGGAATGGAGGAGCAAGTTAAACATACAATGAGAAAACAATCGATCATATCCAGAATGTGGGACATTTCACAGGACATTTGGCATGGGTTCTTTCAAAATTCATTATCAAGAAAAGGAAAATGTACAATGCTCAGAATGGTCAAGCAAAAAGGAAAAAAAAATAAGAGAAAGTATAATAAATTAAAAAAAAAAAAAAAAAGGAAAACGGGCTGGGTGTGGTGGCTCACACCTGTAATCCTAGCAGTCTGGGAGGCCGAGGCTGGAGAATCGCTTGAGGTCAGGAGTTTGAGACCAGCCTGACCAAGAGTGAGATCCTGTCTCTACTAAAGGTAGAAAAAAAGATTAGCTGGCCCACTGAAAATAGAAACAAAAAATCAGTTGGGTGTGGTGGTGAGGGCCTGTAGTCCCAGCTGCTTGGGAAGCTGAGGCAGGAGGATCACTTGAGCCCAGGAGTTTGAGGTTGCTGTGAGCTAGCCTGATGCCACAGCACTTACTCTAGCCTGTGTAACAGACTGAGACTCTGTCTCAAAAAAAAAAAAAAAAAAAAAAAAAAAAAGGAAAACAGGTAGAGGGTCTATTCTAGATTAAAAGAGAATGAAGAGACACAATAACCAGATGCCATGTATGAACCTTATTGGATCCAGGTTGGAGGGAAAAAAAATTACCTTTTAAAGACATTTTGGGGACAGTTGGATAAATTTGGATATGGACCAATTCTGTGACATTAAGACATTGTCTGTTTTCTCAAGTATGTAAATAGTATTGTGGCTTTAAAGAAGAATGCCCTCATTAATAAGAGAGGCATGCTGACTTGGTGGTGGTAAAGCATCATGATACGTGTAACTTCAAATGGTCAGGAAAAAAAGCACACACATATATGGCAAGTCCTTAACAATTTTTGACTCTAGGTGGATGGTATACAGCACTTTCTACATGTTTGAAATTTTTTCATAATAAAATGGGGAAAATTCATCATGTCTGGAGTCTCATATATTTAAGCTTTAGTGTGAGAAGTAAGGCTTCTAAAGAACAATACATTAGTTTAAGTAAAAGAATTTGGCGCTATTTCTGTGAAGGAAGAGTAGAAATAAAGTATAACATCTGTCTTATTCACTTGATTTTATTGTGTTTGGCATGGTACACTCGAATTTTCTAAGTAAAATATTTTCTCTTTTTTTTGGTTGAAAGGATGAGCATACTGGCTTATAAACATATTGACTTTTAAAGCCCATTTGTAAATGAACTTGGAAAAATTTTGGTGAGAACCCCTTTACCTAAAGAAGTTAAAAGGTGGTATGTTTTAATTTGCATAATGGAAAGAACCTTATTTGAGCTATGCTTGGTCACATACCTAGAGAAAAGTTCATGGGGAAGTAAAGAGTAAGTTTCACTCATAAGAAAAATATTTAATATTTTAAAGGCATTCAGTGTGTGTTCAACAGTTGTTGTCTGGCAAAAATTTGACAGTGTTCTACCGAATTTCTGAAAAACAAAAATACTTATTCGAAACCAATAAAAATCCAGATGAGTTATATTTTTATTCCCTAGTAGTATCACTTTTGTATTAATTTGTTTTATAGGTCATATTTTGAAATTTACAAAAACCTTATATTTTATCAGGTGAGTTCTCTATTTGTGAAGTGCCTTGGGTATAGACAAAGTCTTTGTTAAGTACAGTTATAAATGAGAAAAATAGCGTAATCTTTTACAGTTGTCATATAAATTGCTGTTTCAGTTTTCAAAAACTGGTTTGTTTTTGGTAAAAGAAAAATAATTTGTTAAAGATTATCTGACATTTGAATTAAGGTGAACTGTTTCATGGTTCTGTTGAATTATTAATACAAGTCTATTAAGTTTAGTATGAAGTATGCAGAACAAGTATAAAGAGGCATTTTAGCCCAAAGCTTTCTTGAATGTGTAGGACAGTGGTAGGTTTAGTATGAGTAATACTTTGTGTGGGGGTGTGTTCTCTGTATAATTATGCTGGCATGTTGTAGTCATTCGTCTTCCCTTTCCTTCTTCCTCTCTGTTCTCTTCCTGGTATGCAGAGTATTTGATTTCTGACACTGGAGGACAGCAGCTCTCAATAAGTGATGCCTTCATCAAAGGTAATTTTATCAACAGCCATACATGGGGTGGTGTCTCTTTTTTTCATGAAGATATATTTAGGACCTAGCACATTGATTGGCATAGAGAAAGTGCTGAAAATATATTTGGTTATGTTAGTATCATGGGAACACAGTTTTTAATACATATAGTGACTTTGAAAATGTTGAAAACCAAGAATATAAACTTGGACTTGGTTTGACAGAAGGAGGTCTTTTAGCTAAAAATTAAATTTTTAAAAACTTTTAAGTAGAATTTCATTAGCTGGGCATGGTGACATGTGCCTGTAGTCCAGCTACTCGGGAGGCTGAGGCAGGAGGAACACTTGAGTCCAGGAGTTTGAGTTTCCAGTGAGCAAATGACACTGCACTCTAGCCTGGGCAACTGAGCCAGACCCTATCTCAAAAAAAACCCCAAAAAAACACACACACAAAAAACAAAAAAAACTCAAAAAACATTTAAGTAGAACTTGAATCTTACCCTTTTAAAGGCATAAATAGTTTATACTTTCCTATGTTGTAAAGGTAATATAAACTATTGATATATACATCATCAAAGATGATCACATTTGTCAAAAAGCCCACAAAACAGATCTCATCCAGTTAAGGATGCTGCTTGCTTTATGGAGTTGGGAAGAGAAGTAGGCAGAAGAGAATAAAGAACTAACTCTGATGATCGATTTCTTTTGGACAAAAGGAGTGTGGAAGAATGTAAACATTTTCTCACCCTTTCCCTGCTTAACTTCCTGTGGAATAAAGACATTGCTAATTGGGCCATAAACACTTCCCAGGTTAGGCCCCAGATAATGGGAGAAAAGTTCCCTTCCTAGTGTCTTTTTGGCTCTCATGGTTTCAGATAAAAGAAGGTAGGGCAAGCTGGAAGGAGGCCATGTGTACAGCTGATCTTGTAACTTGGCAGTGCTTCTGAATTCACCTCCAAGCATCTGGTTCAACTAGACGTTCATAGACTGGCTGTTCACGTAATTGAAATATACAGTTCTTGTACCTCACGTGTCTTGGACCATGTGCTTTACTGTGTTGTTTGCTGGACTGTTGGGTGAAAGCTTTTTTGTTTGGTTTGCTTTAAGAGGGGAAGAGTTAGAGAATTTGGTAAGCTTTTCCCACCTCTTTCCATTTATTTAGTCACATTCAACAATCACTTAGTGAACACCTTTTGTAAGACATTTATTACCAATTTTTTTGTCTTAATCAATTTTCACCCTTTTAAAAATTTAAAGATTTTACAAAATTTTGCATAAATTGCTATTTAATATGTTTTAATATTTATATTTTATTTTTGAGTCTATCTTGTTAAAATTTTGTTAAAAAGCCTCTGTACCAGTATTGAAAGAGAAACATTAGTAAAGATTGTCTGAATAGATAGACTTTGCATACCGTCATCTGCTGTTTTGGGATATCAGCTGGGCTTGAAAGTTCAGCACCCACATTGTCACATGTTGTTCTGCTAGCATTCAGATTTCTGTTGAATGCAGTTTTCAGTTTGTGATTTTATAGGGAAAATTAACACCCTCCTTTTTTAGTGTTCCAAAATAAATAAAAGGACAATGCAAAAATCTCATTTTATTTGCCTTTTCAGAAGCTGTGTTTGTAATTATTGGCTTCAAAGTCCTAGTTACATATGTAAATTTGCCTCTTACAGTTCTGTCTCTGATTTTGGCTGTTGCTGATTACTGCTGTTTTAGTTTTTTAAATTATGTGTTTTTAATGTATTTATGTATTATTATGTATTTTACTTATGTATTTGTTACATGTCCTTGCCTTTTTAGAACAATAACTTATATTGGCCAACTTAAAAAATTTAAAGAGAAATTGGTAATTTCTAAATATACCAGTAGATGGTATAAAACATGATGATGGAAGTAATAACTGCTTATTTTATACCCTACTTAGAATCCTTATTTAATCGTCGGGTAGAGGAAAAATCCAAAGAGCTGCCTTTCACACCTTTGGGCTGGCATCATAACAACCTGGAGCTCCTGAGGGAAGAGAATGGGGAGAAGCAAGCTATGGAGAGGTTGCTGTAAGGCAGTGAGCTTTTTAATTTTAATTTTTATAATCTTCAATGGCCTGATAGGCATATGCATAGTCCCTCTTCCTTAAATAAAGTAAAAAATACTAAGAATACTTGAACATAAAGCCTCTTCTGATTTCCAATGAAATTTCTTATCGAACAAAGCATCCCACTCTGTGCTTGTCTATCCACATTTTATGTGTTAAAATTTAATTTCTGGGAATTAAAGGAGACATCTTAGTTGAAGATATTCTCAGATTTCATTTATGTGCAAAATCATTAAGGTGCATATATTCAATTTTATTCTTTCAGTATAGAATATCTGAGAACCGTAACTAAGATGTTTATTTCTTTGTAGACTGCTTGTTGTGTCTTCAGAATCATTGTCTCTGGAAGTATGAACTTTGTAAACTTCTTTCTTGTAATATTTTTGTAGTTCGGCTAATCATAACCACATGATGGCACTACTCCAGCAGTTGCTCCATAATGACTCATTGTCACCATCTTGGAGGGACATCATTGTGTCATTGGTCTGCCAAGTAGTTCAGACAGTCCGGCCTGATGTCAAGAACCAGGATGATGACATGGATATCCGTCAGTTTGTCCACATTAAAAAAGTGAGCTCTGTTAATGCTTTGCTAATTCTAGGAACTGATGAGGCAAGGCTGATTGTGATTTTTCTCTTAATGGGCATCTAAAAAGAGTCATTATTTTCAGGGGTGTTAGGTGAGGAGCGGGAGGTTTTGCCATCTTCTCTGCTAATGATGCACTTAGGAGTCATGGAAGCCACACATAGGAAGTGAGAGATGAAATGGATGAAGTGAGTTGGATGGGGGATGAGTTGAGAACTCAATTTTAGTTTCTCCCTTTCTTGCTTCTTCTTGACACATCAGCTATGAGAAAGCCCATTCTTACAGATTACTGTCACTGTTCTGAGGAAAATCAGTGGGTAGTTGCTTTATTTACGTAGTAATGATATCCTATATTTTTTTATGTAGTAACGGTATCCTATATTTTTTTGCCTATGATGTTTAACTTAATAGTGGTTTTAACTGCCACATGGCACCATTTATTTAGACAGTGAATATTTTAGAGTACCTGGTATAGTACATTAGGGAGTAGAGTGTGGGAAAACAGGCTTCATGCTGACATGCCATTAATCATTGGTTGGAAGGAAGAAGTATACTCTGGAACTTTTGGTCTTATTTAGTTATGTAATAGTTAAAAAAAATGGAAAGCAATAATAGTGTCCATCTGATTGGATTTCAAGGATATATCATTGGATTTTACTGTTTTCTTACTTGTTCCGTTAGATCCCAGGTGGAAAGAAGTTTGATTCTGTGGTTGTCAATGGCTTTGTTTGTACGAAGAACATTGCACATAAAAAGGTAATGTGATTCGGTTCAACAGTGAAGTTTAGCAAACCATGGCTGTGTGTGCTAAGTTAACAAGTTGGGGTACCTTAATCATAGAAGAAAAGGAGAATGAACGTTGAGTACCTAGTAGAATATGCAATTGGGGTGAAATTTGGAGATTTAGGGGAGATCTCCCAGAGCTAATGATGAGTGGATTGAAATTTGGATAGTGGGAATTCACCAGACAGAAGAGGGAAGGGAGAGGTCAGGCTTCCAGACTGGGAGAATGATAGGATACTTATCATTTTAATTCTGACCCTGCTACGTCTTAGGGAGACAGGGTTTCTTTACAGACTGGAGTTTTTCCAAAGGCTTTGCATTCTAAAACTGATCTCTCTTCTAGGGCTGAGTTACAGAACTGTCAATGTTATTCTGTTATCCTTTTCACTTTGTATCTCTACCTTTAGCCTCTAGGCTTCTTTTTAGCACTAGCATAAAGGAGTCGGGTGAGATTACCTGAGGTATTAAGGAAACTGAGTTCTTAAGTGTAAGATGGGAAATGACAGATGAGGTAGGAGGAAGCAGGTGAGGGTTTTGTATCTCACTAAGGGGCTTGAATTTTATTTGGAAGGCTTCTCATTCTCAAAGTGCAGTGTATATCAGGATCGCCAGATTGCCTATAGACCTTGTTAAAAAAGTTGATTCCTAAGCCCAACCCCTAGAAATTCTCATTGCATAGGTTTAGGAGAGTGGGAGTGTAGTGGGGGATAGGGGAAGGGTTGTACTGTCTTTAAAGCAGGCACTCCAGATATTTCCAGTGTCATTTGTTGGTCCTCACATTTTGCGATGCCATTGATATATAGCAGTATTCTGAAACCTTGCTGTGCTTCAGAATCACCAAGGGAACTTATTAAAAAGATATCCTGGCCCCACCTCTGGGGATACTGATTTTGTTACAACAAAAGTTGAGGCAGATTTCTAGCTTGAGCAACTAGATGGATAAACCATAGTCCTGTTCTCATTCTTTTCTAAGCGGAAACAAATAATTTATTGTTTGTAAGGCGTCAAGATTCCTAAAAATTGTTAGCATCCACAGATAAACAAAAGTATTCTTGGATTCAATAATATTTCATGGCAGTGATTTAGGTCAGTATTTCCACATAGAGTCTTACTAAAACAACACATTACCTATTAAAGGAAAATTTTAAAATGATGTTTGTTGAATTAAGAGGTCAGTATATTGTGCTTTTTTCAGGAATTGAAGAAAATTGTAAGTGGATGTGGTAAAAACATGCATGAATGACTGTTTTGCCCCACTGATCATATTTAGAGATAGTTTTTATTTATAGTTGCTAAAAGAGCCCCAAATATAGTTTCCTAGTTAGTGAGTCACTGGTTTCAGAACCGTTTGCCAGTTTGGGATCTGTAAGTGTGGTCAGTCTGAAACCTTAGTTGCAGGGCTTAGGCTGTTCTGCCTGTGGCTTTAGTTGCTTGGTTATGGTATATTGTTTAAGTCTCTTCTAGAGTTGCTTTAAGGTTTTCTTTTTTAACTTTATGTTGCTAAATTCAGCTTGCCAACTTAAAATTGTTTGGAAAGTTATTCTGTTAGAAATATGTTCAAGAGGCATTTTAATTTTTTAATTCTTTTCTTCCTCTTGTTTCCCTCTTGTTTGTTTTTTTTTGGTGGGTTTTTTTTTTTTTTGAGAGACAAAGAGTCTAGTCTTGCTCTGTCACCCAGTCTAGAGTGTAGTGGCATGAACATAGCTTATTGTAACCCTGAACTCCTGGGCTCAAGTGATCCTTCTGCTTCAGCCTCCTGAGTAGCTAGGACTACAGGCGTGTGCCACCATGCCCAGCTAATTTTTTAAATTTTTTGTAGAGATGTTGTCTCACTATGTTGCCCAAGATGTCTCACTATGTTGCCCACTATGGGCAACATAATGAGTTTTAGAAAGACTAAATTGGATTTTATAAAGACTAAAATTTGCTTTTCAAAAGTTGCTGATGTCTTGGATTGTGTGAAATAGCCTATCTTTAAACACTCCCTGCTTTCCATGCACACACTGAGGGCATGATGTCTCTTACAACATTGGAAATAAAAAATAGTTGAGAGTATAGAGGAATAGATTAAACTAGTATTAGGAAAACAAAGCTAATTTTTGAAGAATTTTGCATTGCTGTGAACAAATTTGCTTTGAAAAAATATGAGACACTACCACAGAAGAACTAAATGAGAGTATATTAATACTAATATGAGATACTTTTAGTAGGAATTATGAACAGTATGAATTTAAAGTTATTATTAAAGGAGATCTACAAAGTATAAACCTTTAAAAGCTTTAACTATTCATTTTTTGTAGATGAATTCTTGTATTAAAAACCCCAAAATTCTTCTGTTGAAGTGTTCTATTGAGTATCTCTACAGAGAAGAAACAAAGTTTACTTGCATTGATCCTATTGTACTTCAGGTAAAAACTTATTACTGTAAATAATAATTTGGAGCGATTTTTGTATACTATGATACTTGTAAATTCTTAATTATTTTGACTCATTGTAGTTGATTAAATTGAATAGGCAAAGAAACTTGATTGCTCTTGTTATATTTCACAAAGTTATTGTAAATGACACTTGCATGCATTATACTTTAGAACTAGCTTACTAAAACCTGTCACTCATTATTTTTAAAATTTCAATGTGTTAAAGGGAACACATGACTCTTTGGGAATATACGGAGGAAAAAGTAAAATCCAAATGCTGGTTTCCCTTTCCCACTTAGGTCATTGATTTATTGTGAGAACTTCTCTAACTTATCAGGTGCCTGAGGGAGACTCTGGCTTATATAATATAGTGTATTCTACTAAAACATTTCTAACACATCGATTAGCTTATATGTAGTTGGTAAATGGGAATAACATTAGATACAAGTTGTGTTGGTTTCAATGTGGTTTTTCCCAAGTAAGGGGACCCCGAATAGCTGCAGTTGGACTATAACCCTCAGCTGGGAAGGAAAACAGCTTCAGCTTGGCTACTAAAACAGGCAGGAGCCCATTCAGCTCTGTTTTAAGAAATTAAAAGTAAGCATCTGCTTTCAGGGCTCTCTTCCCAGAGAGGCTCACCACCAGGCCTGGATGGCTCTTGGTAGCTCTACTGCTCAGAGCTCCATTTTTAGTTGTAGTGTTGCAGTTGTTTTTGTGTATTTTAAATTTCCCTTGAGGCAGCCTCTAGCCATGCTGTGCTGTCTGCCTGGGGTGTACAGGTTTTCTCTTAAGGTTTTTTTTTTTTTTTTTTTTTTTTTGGTGCTATGGATATGAAGTTGCGTAGGTTTTAGGTTTTCTGCCCCAACCCTCTTTTTCCCATAAATGCTGTTAACTTTAGTTTATGGTCATAAAAATTAGAAGGTTTTCAGGAATGTGTATATGCTAGTATGGTGGAAACACTTATACCTGGTTCCAGGAACATTTAGGAAAAGCATTACTTGAAAATTCATAGGTAATAACATTTTTCCAAGAGTGGTAGAAGCAATCACTTTTGTACTGAATTTATAGATACCAAGAAGAAAAACCTAATTGTAGTGAAAGGCACAGTGCTTTATAAAACTCTACTATATTACTTAATGAACTCTTTTATCTGGGGCTCTTTCCTCTTTGGAATTCAGCTATGCTATCAGTAAAAACGAGGGGTTCTAACTGATTTATACCAGCCTTTCTACCTCTGATTTACTATGAGTTTTCAGAAGAGAACTCAATGAGAATAAAGGGAAACATAATTCTTATTGTTCATGGAACCTAAGATACTTTGATGTATCTCACAGAAGATGTCAGCAGAAGACTTTCACAAGATTAGGTCACTACTACATGGATTGTCAGATACATCCTGGTTGTAGAGATGTTAAAATGCATAAAGTTGTATGTCTTAGAGTTGCTCAGTTAGGATAACTAAAATCCACAGGTGTTTCTTTATGAAAAAGTTATACTTAAATTATTCAGTTTATTATTACTCCATACTTCAAAGAGATTAACAGACTGAAGTCTTTTCATGTTAAAGAGGTCTATTCTGGGCAGATGTGAACTTCAGAAGCATGGTTTAACTCATGTATCATAAAGCATTTTGTTCATCAATGCTTTCAAACATAGTTTTATTATACTTTTAACTCCTGATTTGAGTTTTTTCATTTTCTTTTCTATTTTTTTTTTGTCCACCCAGTGGGGAATAACTAATTTGAGAAGCTGAAAGGGAGATAGAGAAAGGAGGACGAGAAACAAAGGTTAGCCTGTGACTTTGTACTGTCTTCATAAGGCTGGGCCTCCCAGCTCTGTTGGTCCACCACTACTATAATATGTTCCATTCTTATGGCCTAGTGCCTGATACTTGCTCCTGGCTGAGTTTGGACCAGGCCTTCTTTTTAACATGGTGCTTCATGAACAGCCATAGTTGGTTGGAGCTGGAACTGAGAGGAAATTTATTTGCCATTCTTGTACCAAAGGCAGAAATTTTTATATAATCAACTTATTCTAATTATACTTTATTAGAGCTACACAGATGAAATCATTTTAAATGCTGTTAAATTACAATTTAATAAGCAAAGTAGGAATTTAACACATTTCAGTAAAAAAATTCCATTTTGTTAATAGTGGGTGAGTTTGAAATGTGTAATTTTTATCAGTAAGACAGAGAGAGGAAGGAGAGAAGAAATATACTCCATCGCAGGGCAGGTTCATTGCAAGTAATAGGCTTGTCCATTTCTGGTAGCAGTGAACATTAATACAGTCTTGCTCAGAAAATACCTTTATATGTTGAGCAGGAGTGACCACATACTCACTTTCAGTTGTCTCTCATCTGGAGCCCAGAAATGTTATGAAGCAGTTAATGAATTGTATTATTTTAACTCTGGTTGTTATTTACAATATTTATTAGTTTTGAAATGAAGACTTTGTGATGAGATTATATTAAACATTATGTTTTAGGTCTTTAACACATTAACTGCCATCTGAGTTGTATTTAGCTCACGCTAGTTTTGAGCCTGGGGCCTCATGAAGCGTATGTAACTCACACGTCTCTTCCCTTTGGGAGCCATGTGAACTGTTTTTCAAGTTGCATATAACTTATGCACAGAAAACAATGAAAAAGAAATTTTTCATTAAATGAAAGGATCATTTTGTTTTCAAAATTTTTATTCTATTTTTGTAATAAAACACCGTGGCCCTAAGGAAAAAAAAAATTTTTCTAGCATGGCAGTCAGTGTGTTAAGTATAGCTGTTCTAGGTAGACTGTGATCTATTGGCAGATTGGAATTAGGAAGTAGCTGTAATATCATCTGTTAGAGAGTCAGTTATTCACAAGACAAGAAGAGATACTCTGGTTTGTTTCAGAATATAAAAGGAATTTATAACCATAGTAAAAGCACTTAGAAATTACTTTTAGGAGTTTTGAGGTTAAATTTTTTGTTGTTCTGGTTTTTTAATCTCTGAGAGCTAGTGAATTGGATTCTTGGCTTTTATCTTATAGGTTATTAAGAATTGAAAATTCTTCAAAGTAAAATTAGTTAGAGAAACGAATTTCTCCTGAAACTATTGTCAGCATAATCAACAGTTTGAAATGATGAATGAGATTCTTGGTTGTGTTTGAATTAATTTGCTTACAGATTTATTTATGGATGAAGAAAATTTAGGCTGATGTTGATATTGATAGTCAAGCTTATGATATTTTAATATGTATGTCCAGGTCTTCTTTTTTGTTTTTTTGAGACAGAGTCTCACTTTGTTGCCCAGGCTAGAGTGAGTGCCATGGCGTCAGCGTAGCTCACAGCAACCTCAAACTCCTGGGCTCAAGTGATCCTCCTGCCTCAGCCTCCCGAGTAGCTGGGACTATAGGCATGCACCACCATGCCCGGCTAATTTTTTCTATGTATATTAGTTGGCCAATTAATTTCTTTTTTATTTATAGTAGAGATGAGGTCTCGCTCTTGCTCAGGCTGGTTTCGAACTCCTGACCTTGAGCAATCTGCCCGCCTCGGCCTCCCAGAGTGCTAGGATTACAGGCGTGAGCCACCACGCCCGGCCTATGTCCACGTCTTGAATTGTACCAGGCATAATATTTCTGATTTATCTTACTTAGGGAAGGGAATTCTTTATTTTATTTTATCTTATTTATTTCAAAGTATTACTGGGGTACAAATGTTTTGGTTACAAAAATTGCTTTTGTACAGTTTGAGTGAAAGTTATAAATGTGCCCATCACCCAGATAGTGTGCATTGTACCCATTAGGTGTGAATTTACTCATCCCCCCTACCTACCTGCTTGATTTCTGATGAGTTTTATTTCCATATGTGCACATAAGTGTTGATCAATTAGTACCAACTTAATGGTGAGTACAAGTGGTGTTTGTTTTTCCGTTCTTGTGATACTTCACTTAGAAGAACTATCTACAGTTCCATCCAGGTTAATATAAGAGGTATTAGGTCACTATTTTTCTTTTTTTTTATGATAGTACTCCATGGTATACATATACCACATTTTATTAATCCAGTCATATTGATGGGCACTTGGGTTGTTTCCACATCTTTGCAATTGTGAATTGTGCTGCTGTAAACATTTGGGTGCAAGTGTCCTTCTTAAAAAATGTCCTTTTAGGAAAGAGAATTTTTGAAGAATTACGTTCAGCGAATAGTTGATGTTCGACCCACGTTGGTTCTAGTTGAGAAAACGGTGTCTCGGATTGCACAGGACATGTTACTGGAACATGGCATTACTTTGGTCATTAATGTAAAATCAGTGAGTGTCCTTATTTTTCTAATTTTTTTTATTAAAAGAAATTACACCTTTGAAATTTATGTGCATGCGTAGTAGGTATAAAGGAATCTTTATTTCTTTGCTGCACTATACATATTGAAAGTGGGACAGAAGGCATGGCAGCTATTTGATTATTTAAGACTGGAGAATCTCAGATCAGAAGAAAATGTGATTGATTATCTATACAATCAAAGGTGGAATTAACATGAGTTAATCAGTAGATACTTGTTGATCCAAATGTGGTTGGGGAATTGCACAAGCAAAAAATGTTCTCTCCCTTGAAAAGTGTACCCTCTGCAGAATAGAGGCCAATTTTAGAAAGTTTTTTTTGGTTTTTCCACAGTATCTTGTACTAATTTGTGATGCTTAAATGCCTTTTGATAACATTATTAATGTGAATATAGTTTGTTTTAGTGGGCACATTACTGATTAAGCAACCAAGTGTAGACTAATATAGAATCAAAAAAATTTTATTTGTCATATAGTTATTAAAATTAAGGAAATTGATTGTGAGGGTTATTTTTAAATTTTAAATTATTTTTCTGATTAAATTTACTAAGATTTTTATTCTTCTCTAATTTTTTAATGTGATGTTTTTCTGTGTTGTAGCAAGTTTTAGAACGAATCAGTCGGATGACCCAGGGTGATTTAGTAATGTCGATGGACCAGCTACTTACGAAACCACACCTGGGCACTTGTCACAAATTTTATATGCAGATTTTTCAGTTGCCTAATGGTGAGTGATCTTTAGCATGGATTCACCTGAGACTGGGGACCTGAGGAAATGAGTTAACTCATCAGTACTACAATGCTTATTCAGTAGAAAATATCTATTAGTAATGGTTAAGTGAAGATAGGCGACTGTGGTCTTATTCACATGAGGGTTTTTCTTTTGTAGATGTTAAGATAGTAAATTAATTCTGTCTGGACTTCCTAAGCCTTGTTAACTTTTTTATTTGTTTGTTTATTTGTAGAACAAACCAAAACACTGATGTTTTTTGAAGGCTGTCCACAGCACCTAGGCTGTACAATCAAGCTTAGAGGAGGCTCTGATTATGAGTTGGCTCGAGTTAAGGAGATCCTAATATTCATGATTTGTGTAGCTTATCATTCTCAACTGGAAATCTCCTTTCTCATGGATGAATTTGCTATGCCTCCCACATTAATGCAAAACTCTTCATTCCATTCTCTGATTGAGGGACGGGGGCCTGAGGGGACTGCACAAGAGCAGTACAGTGGAAGTTCCCTCCCCTGGGAGCCTGACATCCCTCCTGAGTCTCTGCCTTCTGATGATAGCACTTTGCTGGAATCAAGGATTGTGTTTGAGAAGAGTGAGCAGGAAAGTAAAAGTGTTCCACAGGCTGTTGCCTCTTTGAAGCACCAAGAATATGCCACAACAGCTTGCCCTGCAGGTATCCCTTGTGCTTTCTTCCCATCAGTACCAGAGTCCTTGTTACCACTCCACGTGGATGACCAACAGGATGCTGTGGGCAATGAGCAGCCAGAGTCTTTGCTGCAAACAGATGAACCACAGGATCCTAAAAGCCAGATGAGAGCCTTTAGAGACCCTCTACAGGATGACTCTGGATTATATGTTACTGAAGAAGTCACCCTCTCTGAAGATAAACGAAAGACTTATTCTTTGGCCTTTAAACAGGAATTAAAAGATGTGATCCTCTGTATCTCCCCAGTAATCACATTCCGAGAACCCTTCCTTTTAACTGAAAAGGGGATGAGGTGCTCTACCCGAGATTATTTTGCAGAGCAGGTTTACTGGTCTCCTCTCCTCAATAAAGAGTTCAAAGAAATGGACAACAGGAGGAAGAAACAGCTACTTAGGGATCTCTCTGGGCTTCAGGGCATGAATGGAAGTATTCAGGCCAAGTCTATTCAAGTCTTGCCCTCACATGAGCTAGTGAGCACTAGAATTGCTGAACATCTGGGCAATAGCCAGAGCTTGGGTAGAATGCTGGCTGATTATCGAGCCAGAGGAGGAAGAATTCAGCAAAAAAATTCAGACCCTTTTGCTCATTCAAAGGATGCACCAGGTACCTCAGGTGGTAAATCAGGAAGCAAAACTGAGGATGACGAAGAGAGAGGGCTGATTCCGAGTGATGCAGTGTGGTCAACAAAGGTGAGCCAGTTTGACAAATTGCCTGCAGTTGTAAGTATATTTTCTCCTATGCTTTGTTTGTTTTGAGTCTGCTGTCTTCTGTGTTACTTTAATATGTGTGATTTAGAATTATAAAGTAATGAAATGGGTTTTAGGATTTTAAGATGAGAGCACAGTAAAGTAGTAAGAGTCCTGGGATAAAGGGAAGTGTGGAGCTGCTTATAATTTCGGTCAGGATGACTTGGATGTGGTGTGATGCTTCTTTGATCCTTTTGATGGTAGTGACAGGGAGGGTGAGAGAAGCTTATTGTAGGCAATGGGTGCATTTTTAAAAAAAATGTTAGATTTATTTATTTATTTATGAGACAGAGTCTTTATTTATTTATTTATTTATGAATGAGACAGAGTCTCACTTTGTTGCCCAAGCTAGAGTGAGTGCCGTGGCGTCAGCCTAACTCACAGCAACCTCAAACTCCTGGGCTCAAGCAATCCTGCTGCCTCAGTCTCCCAAGTAGCTGGGACTACAGGCATGCACCACCATGCCCGGCTAATTTTTTCTATGTATATTAGTTGGCCAATTAATTTCTTTCTATTTATAGTAGAGACAGGGTCTCGCTCTTGCTCAGGCTGGTTTCGAACTCCTGACCTCGAGCAATCCGCCCACCTTGGCCTCCCAGAGTGCTAGGATTACAGGTGTGAGCCACCGCGCCCGGCCTTATTTATTTTTTTAACATAAAATTCTATAACTTATTTGTCTATGACTGTAGTTTTTTTTTTTTCGTTTTAGAATGAAATTGAGAGCATATTAAGGAAGATTTGTTTGTGGACACAAACAAATGGTAGTAATAAAACTAATGGGACAAATCCATCTCTAGACAAGGAAAAGCAATTGTTTAATCAAACAAAAAGATGTTCAATTACATTGGTAGTCAAGGAAGTACTGAATAATAGTGGTGCTAATTAATTTTTTATTTGTGAAATTGGCAAAAAGGAAAGTGGTAAAAGAGCTATGGTTAAAGATAGTGTGAAAAAATACCTTCCATAAGTTTTATATAAATTTATATAAATTTATGTTTATATACACATTTGTATAAATTTATAGAAAGTGGTAAGTCTCTTAATTTACTTATACATGTATATTCCTTTGACTCAGGACTCCTACTTTTTATAATCTTTTACTGCAGAAATAATTAAGCATGTTTATATAAGGATGCTTGCATTTTGTAAGAATATTTGTACAAAGATGTTTATCGAAGAAGTTTCCAGTTTTTTGCAATAAAAAGGATAAGTGGAATCTCATTTAATGACCTGGATAAGGCCCATGATATACTTTTAAGCGTTAAAAAGCAAGTTGTGTTTTCATATATATGGCATCATCTCATTTTTATAAAAACAAAATCTCTTGTGTGTACTTACTTAGGGGAGGTGTATGTGTGTGTATGTGTAAGAGCTAGCAAAAAGAATGGATTTATTTTTTATTTATTTGTTTATTTCTTTATTTAGAAACAGAGTCTCTTTATGCTGCCCAAGCTGCCCCAAACTCCTGGGCTCAAGCAACCCTCCTGTCTCAGCCTCCCAAGTAGCTGAGACTATAGGTGTCCACTGTTTCTGGCTCTAGAATGGATATTTCATTTTATTTATTTATTTTTTTATAGAATATCATTTTATCTCAATTTAAGGCTATAGACACTGTAATACCTAAAATGGATATTTTAAAACAATACTGTCAAACTACTCAGTCAGGAAGTGGGATGGAATCAGAAGAGGAGAGGCTTTATGTGTTTCGTGAGCTTCTTCATGTACCTCTGTACTATTTGAATTTTAACAGAGAGTAAGTGTTACCTTTGTAATGATCAGAAACAGCCATAAAGCATAGATAGTTTTATTTATTTAAAAAATATTTTGATTTTTTATTTCATCAACAATACTGGAGTCTGAAGGCACAGATTAAATATTTATTTTATTTTATTTTATTTTTTATTTTATTTTATTTTATTTTTTTGAGACAGAGTCTCGCTTTCTTGCCTAGGCTAGTGCCGTGGCGTCAGCCTAGCTCACAGCAACCTCAAACTCCTGGGCTCAAGTGATCCTCCTGCCTCAGCCTCCCGAGTAGCTGGGACTACAGGCATGCGCCACCATGCCCGGCTGATTTTTATATTATATATATTAGTTGGCCAATTAATTTCTTTCTATTTTTATGGTAGAGATGGGGTCTCGCTCAGGTTGTTTTTGAACTCCTGACCTTGAGCAATCCACCTGCCTCGGCCTCCCAGAGTGCTAGGATTACAGGCATGAGCCACCGCGCCCGGCCCACAGATTAAATAAATACCGTAGAATTTAGATTTCTGGGTGTCTCAGATTGATGTTACATCTAGCCATCAGTTCAGACTGTTTCATACGGATATATTTAACTTTTTCCTCTAAATAGTTTAATGTAGTTTTGTAAAACTAAGAGTATTTAAAAAAGCAAGCTATTTAGACATCTTTTTTTTCTTTTGAGACAGAGTCTGGCTCTGTTGCCCAGGCTAGGGTGCCATGGTGTCAGCCTAGCTCACAGCAACCTCAAACTCCTGGGCTCAAGCAATCCTACTGCCTCAGTCTCCCAGGTAGCTGGGACTACGGGCATGTGCCACCATGCCCGGCTAATTTTTTCTATATATTTTTAGTTGTCCAGCTAATTTGTTTCTATTTTTAGTAGAGACGGGGGTCTCGCTCTTGCCCAGGCTGGTTTCGAACTCCTGACCTTGAGCAATCTGCCTGCCTCGGCCTCCCAGAGTGCTAGGATTACAGGCGTGAGCCACCATGCCTGGCCTAGACATCTTTTTTTATTTTTAAGGTTAACTTAAACTTTTTGAGTTGTCTTACTTCAAAAACCACTCTCTTCTTTCTTATACTTGGTTTCTTGTAATAATAGGTTTAAATCTTCACCAGTAGTCCTATAGTGAAGGTTGGAGGCTTTCCAAATAGAGTGGAATGTGCTTGGTATTAGAAGCATTCATTGAGATTGGAATGTTTTCCAACTTGCGGTCACTCATCTGTTCCTTCTCTCTTAGGTGGATTGTCTGAATCCCGTTAACCACCAGAGACTATGCGTGCTCTTCAGCAGCTCTTCTGCCCAGTCCAGCAATGCGCCCAGTGCCTGTGTCAGTCCTTGGTAAGATTCTTATCTCCCTACGCTATTGCACTTATGAACAGAATTCCAGCAACTTAAAAAAAAATACAGCCATTAGGACTGTTTTTAGGTATATGGCATGCTGCTGGTGTATATGAATTGATAGAACTTTTAAACTTGTAAAGTAAATATGAAAATATGTATTTGTTCATGGGTAGAAGTTAATGAGAGTATGTCAACAGTGAAAAAAATGTGAAGGATAGAGGAGAAATTTATATAGGTTGAGTATCCAAAATGCTTGGGACCAGAAGTGTTTCAGATTTTGGAATTTGGATTTTTTCAGATTTTGGAATAATTACACATTTATAATGAGATATCCTGGGGATGGGACCCAAATCTGAGCATGAAATTAATTTATTTTTCATATATACCATATAAACATAGGCCGAAGGTAATTTTGTACAAGATTTTTAATTTGTGTATGAAACTAAGTTTGTATATATTGAACTATCAGAAAGCAAAGGTGTCAGGTGTCGAATTTTTTACTTGTGACATCATGTTGGTGCTCAAAAAGTTTTTGATTTTGGAGTGTTTGACGTTTCATATTTTCATATTAGGGATGCTCATAGAAATCCAAGAAAGCTGACACACAAAATCTAGTTTAAAAGCATTTTGATGATAACACATACAATTTAGGCAGACTTTCCTTCACATATCATTTTTATAAAAGCAGTCAGCCTTTTTGCCTTATTAATGGGTTTTATTCTAAAACGTAATTCTAAGTGGATTGACAGAAATAGAAACTCATTTTATAATGTTTTATATTTTTCAAATGATAAAGTCTTGCATAGACATATATAGCCTTACATACTTTAGCTTAAAAAATAGAATGGAACATAACTGCTTATTTTGGAACATTGTTTCCCTCACAAAATGTGTTCTGTATTTTGATTTTGGACACCTGAAGCACTTATTTTCAGCAGTAAAATCAAGGATTCTTCTAGTAGTAGTATAGCTCCAGCAGGAGGACTTGGGCTGGAGGAACCTATTAGGAATTTTCTTTGGGAGTGTATGGACTTCTTAGGTCAAGGCTTGAATCAGTTGTGGGTTTTGACAGGTATGTGGCCAAACTTTCTTATTTGTGGGCATTTATAAGTTAGAAACAAAGTTAAGAATTGGTGCTTTGAGCTGCTGTTCTCCATGCTCAGTAAAGGTGTGGACTAGAGAGCAGGAATCCCACTTTATGTTGATAGGGATTAAACCTTTGTAAAGGAAACTTTTATTTCTTCTTAACTAGTTTCACTCAGTACTATAATTTTATGTATCCTCATTAAATAGTTTCATAAGATAATAATGTACTGGGAATGAAAAAGATGCTATAGTGTGGATAGCCTAAACCTGTTTTTATTTTTTCTTTTATAGAAGTAGTGCAGTTGGACGAACCTGTTTTACTAGATGAGATAAAACCTGTTCTCTAGGAACAGAGAATATTACCTGGTTTAATACTTCATTATAAATATTATACATTTAACAGGGTAATCAGAATTTGTGGTCTCACAAAATATCTTTGGTGTGTGGTAATTCTTATGTTTCTAAGAGATGATCTCTTCTTTTAGGATAGTAACGATGGAATTTTATGGAAAGAATGATCTTACATTAGGAATATTTTTAGAGAGATACTGTTTCAGGTAAGAGAAAATTTCCTTATATATTCCATTGTTCATTTTTGATGCCTAGACTTTCAACCTGAAACATAAACATGGGTTGGATGTCACATATTATTGTGTGGGTCCTTACTTTCATAGCACGTATCAGAGTATACCATACAAAGAAGTAGTCTGTTTCATATTCATACTGGGATGTCTTATCCGGTACATTCCTCATATCTTCCTTCATCTGATTACCCTGCCTTCCCTGAGACATTTTTAGCATGTCTGTTTTTATAGTGAGTCACATGAGAGGCAAAGGAAATGTTGAAATTAGCTAGACCTTACTTTAATTCCTAGTGCTGTCACTCACCACATACATGACAAAACACATGTAATTTAATCTTTATAAATCCCCTTTATAGGAAATAACAATCTCCAGAAATGTCAGGCTTTTAATGGGTAAAATGAAATGTTTTAAAACTGTTGGCATATAGAAGGTGCTTAAAGAATGCAAGTCACAATGCTATAGTTGAAGACAGGATGTTCAACTGCAGTCTCAGAGCAGCTTGAGTCTCTGTAGAGATTGTTCACCAGTCACTGTTACTCTAAAGAGGATGTTGCACTTTCTCGACAGTGGTTCTGATTAGCCAGTATTCATTATATATGGCTTCTCTGTTTCATGCGTAATGTGAGAAGGACTCTCTTGTTTGTCAAAGGCCTTCTTATCAGTGTCCTAGCATGTTCTGTGATACCCCCATGGTGCATCACATTCGGCGCTTTGTCCATGGCCAAGGCTGTGTGCAGATAATTCTGAAGGAGTTAGATTCTCCAGTACCTGGATATCAACATACAATTCTCACATATTCTTGGTGCAGAATCTGCAAACAGGTAATATTCTCTGTTACTATAATATTTTATGTGTCATTTATTTATTTGTGTAGTTCTTTTGGTGGGAGGGTGGTCTGTATTGTTTTAGATTTGTTATTTGTCATTAGGCTCTTTTTATTTTACTTTCCAGTGCTGTATGTTCAATCTAATATTTGTTTTTTGAAGATCTCATCTTGGGAATATATCAGTCATTAAAGAAAAATACAAGTGCCTTGTCCAGTAGAATATCTGGAGATTGTATCTTGACAATTTTCAATTATGTTTGTTTGTTTATTCAGCAAAGATTTATTTAATACCATCTATGTGCCAGGTACTATGGTAGGCCCTAGGAGTGGAAAAAGATTAAGAAATGACTTCTCTCCACTAAGGGAGGAGACGGACTTATAAAGCAATAACTGCAGTATATTAGGATATTTGTATGATAAACTTGAGCCTATATCAATGTTTCTGTCTTAAGAGATACAGAAGGAGACCATGCTGAAATTGATTTGTACTTGTTTTCATGTATGTTCTTTAGAAAAGGGCATGCATCTTATTTCTTCTGTATGCCTCTTTTTTCTAACTCTGGAACAAATAATTTGATGCCAATACTATGTTTTTAATATATAATTTTTATCTAAATTGTTTGTAGTGAGTATGTACCAAATTTAAGTTAATTTCTGTCTTAATTGGCTTATTTTGGAGTATGCTTTTGGAAGGTGCATATGGGAATCACAGATAAAATAATAAATGTGTGACTTACATTAAATCAGTGGCAGAGAAAGGCAAAATCAAACTTCCTCCTGTATCAGCAAACATACAGACATGAAACTATTTCTAGCAATTATCAGTGTTACTTTCATACTTATTCCTATAGGCCTTTAGTTTCCTGATATATAGCTGGTAATGTTTTGTTGTAGAAAATGTGAACTTTGTAGGTTAACCACTGCACTAAATGAATAACTCAAATTTGATTTTTATGTTTTGCATGCATCAGTAGATGCACTTTATTTTAAAACAAAATCTCTGCTTTTGGGGGTATGCTAGAAAGGAAAAGGCAAATAGTTTTGTTACACTAAAATGAAAAATTTCTGGTGTCAGGAGAAGTTACACCATATGTGACCAAACATAAATACACTTAATATTAAATTTCTATATTCCATTATAATAGAAAAATGGGCAAAGGATATGACAAAGCAATTTAATGTAAATAGCCAGTGTGAATAAATTTTACTCATTATAGTCAAAGAAGTATAAATGAAGCCAGTAAAATGCCTTTTTAAAAGAATTTTTTAAGAAAATCATATTTAAAAGACTTCAGTCCTAATTCTTAGGATTGGTAAGAGTGAGGGGAAATTGGTATTCTCAAATACTGTTGGAGATGGTGTAAATCAGTGTACCTGTTTTGGAAGACACTGTGGCAAAAAATATCAAAGGACGGTATAAATGTTTGTGCTCTTTGACATAACAATTCCCACCTTTATTAATTCCAAGGAAATAATTACAGACATTTGTAAATATGTATATATAAGATATTCCTCAGAGCATCATCCTAATAAGGAAAAACTAATAAAGTCTTAAATGTATATGGGTAAGAATTGGTTAAATATACGTCCATATAATAAGATACTCTGTAGCTACTTAAAAAGTTGTACAAGATTATTTTATGGGGGAAAATATTCATGATATATTGCTAAGCAAAAAAAGAAAAGTTTATAAAGCTAATTATAGGAAAGAGTTTCTATTTATAAATACACTGATTGTGTGGCTATGTATTTAACATATATATTCATATATAGAAAGAAAATAAACATATACTATTTTATTGATGTTAACGGTAGGATTATTGGTGATGCTGCTCTCCATCACCACTCCCAGCTCCACCCACCTATAAACAAAAGTTCTCTGAAAAGGAATTTGGAGAAAAAATGACTTTATTCTAGTGAGCAGTTTGCAAACCAGGGAGACATAGCCTTCGTTGTAAACTGAAGATGTGTTGTGTTCCAGAGAATGAAGAGATTCTTCAGAGCTTTTTGGGTTTGTTTTTATTTTTTAAAAGAGAGGAGGTCTCGCTGTGTCTCCCAGGCTAGTCTATCAGGTTGAGTGCAGTGGCATGATCATGGTTCACTGCAGCCTCCAACAAACTCCTGGGCTCAAGTGATCCTCTGGGTTCAGGTTTTATAGCAAAAGTTCCTGCCTAGGTTCTTAGTTAGATTCATTTATGCAAATGAAAGATTGAAACTTTCTTAGTTCTGATTGGCAAGGTAGGCGAATTCTGGTTGGTTGGTTGGTTCAGATGAGTCTCAAAGTTAAAAGGGTAGGTTTTTGGAGAACTCAGTGTAGAGTGTGTGACCTCTACTTAGCAAATGGTTGCTTGGCTCTATTTTAAATTTAGAGCCAGTTGGCCACTCCAGATCCATTTTGAAGGATTGGCTCTTTCAGGTTTACATTTGTTCACACACTTTTGAATTTTCCTTCTTTCCCCTGTTTTCTGCAGTCAGAATGTATTTGGTTTATATTAGAAGATAAAATATATAATTTTTAAAGAAGATTCTCAATATGTGATTAGATAAACTATTTTTGCTGAATTCTAGGTAACACCAGTTGTTGCTCTTTCCAATGAGTCCTGGTCCATGTCATTTGCAAAATACCTGGAACTTAGATTTTATGGGTACCAGTATACTCGTAGAGCCAATGCTGAGCCATGTGGTCACTCCATCCATCATGATTATCACCAGTATTTCTCATATAACCAAATGGTGGCATCTTTCAGGTAAGAAGTCCAAGGGATCTGTATCTGATCACATAATCATTATAAATAACTATAATGTTATAGTAACATTTTCACTATTACTAGAATGAATTAATTTGTAGATATGTGTCATTCTCCATCTCTGTCTTTTCTTTTCTTTCTTTTTTTTTTTTTGAGACAGAGTCTCACTCTGTTGCCCAGGCTAACCTGAGTGCCATGGTGTCCACCTAGCTCCCAGCAACCTCAAACTTCTGGGCTCAAGCAATTCTACTGCCTCAGCCTCCTGGGTAGCTGGGACTACAGGCATGCAATACCATGCCCAGCTAATTTTTTCTATATATTTTTAGTTGTCCTGTAATTTCTTTCTATTTTTAGTAGAGACAGGGTCTCGCTCTTGCTCAGGTTGGTCTCGAACTCCTGACCTTGAGCGATCCACCCGCCTCGACCTCCCAGAGAGCTAGGATTACAGGCATGAGCCACTGCACCTGGCCCATCTCCATCCTTTCAAATGTAGAGGGCCAGACTCTGCTAAGAGTTTTCAGTATTATTTACTCCTAAGAAATAGGTATTATTATTATGTTCACTTAAAGAGCTAGTAAATGATGGAGTCAAGATTTGAACCCTAGGCAATCTTCTTCTACTGGCTTCACTCTTAACCATTGTTGTGGCATCCTACAGTCTGTCAGAGTATTTCCTAAGATATTAACTAGCATAAGGATAATCAAATATTTCTGATAGAACTAAAATTTCATGTTCAAAGAGTGGATGGTTCCCATTGTGGTATTAAATAATTTGAGAAAGCCTTCAGGTTATGCCTTCAAAATATATCCAGAGTCTAAACACTTTTCACCACCTCTACCACTACTTTGGGCTGAGCCTCTGTTATCTTTCACCTAGGTTGTTGCAGTAGCCTCTGCCAGTCTCCCTTTGGCCTTGCCCCTGCAGTCTGCTCCCAAAAAGCAGTCAGAAATGTCCTTTTTCAGGAAAATCAGCTCATGTCGCTCCTCTGCTCTAAACATTCCAAAGAGTGTCTGTTCATTCTGAGTGAAAACCAGAGTCCATTTACTGGCCTGTAGTCCCCGCTCTATTCTCTCCCCCACTTACCCACTACAGCCCTGCTGGCCTCCTAGCTGGGCCTCAGCTATGTGTGTCAGGTGGGTTCCTGCCTGAGAGTCTTATACTTTGTTCTTCCCTCTCTGAATTGCTCATTCCTGAGGTATCTGCCTGCTGTTTCCTTAATTCTGTAGGTATTGGTTCAAATCTCATTTGCCCTGATATCCTCCCACCCCAAGCACTGCCTGCTTCTCTTTCTTAATTTATTTTTTTAAAAGTATGTACCACCTGGTACATATCTTGAATATTTGTTTTCTTTGTTACCGAAATTTTGTTATTTCTGAATTATGAGGACAGGAATTTTGGTTCTTGTTTTGTGCTACATCCTTAGCAATTAAAACAGTGTCTGTCACATAATAGACCCTCAGGAAATATTTGCTAATTAGAGTTCATTTCCTTTTTTAAGCAAGAGCTTTAATCATGAATTTAGGGTCTAGGTGGGGTGTAGCATTTACTAGTCAATATAAATTCTCAGGTGGAAAGGAAATAAAGACTCATTAAGAAACCTCAGGAGCTGGGAAGATAATGAATACCTATATCCAAGCTAATCTTAGGAAGGAGTTCCTTTCTTTATTCATAGGGAAGGTCTATATCAAATTCATTTTGTTTTTATAGCAGATGACGATAGCCTCAAAGGATAAATGATGGCACCACAATGCAGTGAAAAAACAAAACAAAACCCTTCCAAAATTGGGGAGGATATTTGTTGAAAGTTATCTTAGGTATCTTTATGATTGTTTTAAAATGCCATTTTGCAGAAGCTTTATTTTCTCTTATGCCTTAAAGATTTAGTTGGCCATCATGATACAGCTCCACTTAAGATATTAAAATATTTTTTATTTTTCTACTGTTTTTTGTATTTTTTCTTCTTTCAGTTATTCTCCCATTCGGCTTCTTGAAGTATGTGTTCCACTCCCCAAAATATTCATTAAACGTCAGGCCCCATTAAAAGTGTCTCTTCTTCAGGATCTGAAGGACTTCTTTCAAAAGTAAGTTCTAGTTTCTTTAATTATCCTTTTTTGTTTAGTACTGTCTGTAATGTACAGCTATTTTAATGTATCAGGTTTGTTTATTTAACTTGCTTTGAAAGTGTAAATAACTTTGCTTATGTGTGCTTTATGTAAAAAAGTGAAAATGCAGACAATACGGAAAAGTATTAAAAAAGAGGTCAAACTCATATAGAACAAACAACTGTAAAAATTATAAAGCAGGCCGAGTGCAGTGGCTCATGCTTGTAATCGTAGCACTTTGGGAGGCCAAGGCTGGAGAATCGTTTGAGGCCAGGAGTTCAAGACCGTCCTGAACATGAGAAAGACCCTGTCTGGGTATGGTGGCGCATGCCTGTAGTCAGTCCCTGCTACCTGGGAGGCTAAGGCATGAGGATTGTTTGAATCCAGGAATTTGAGGTTGCAGTGAGCTATGGGGAAGCCACTGCACTCAACCCACGGCAACAGAGCAAGAATTTGTCTCAAAAATATATATACATGTATTTTTTTAAAGTATGTGCTTTCAGGTATTTTTTGCTCTGCAAAATTATATGTGACTCTTTTTTTTGTTTGTTTTTTAGACAGAGTCTCACTCTGTACCATGGTGTCAGCCTAGCTCACAGCAGCCTCAAACTCCTGTGCTCAAGCAATCCTTCTGCCTCAACCTCCCGAATAGCTGGGACTACAGGCATGCGCCACCATGCCCGGCTAATTTTTTCTATATATTTTTAGTTGGCCAATTAATTTCTTTCTATTTTTCAGTAGAGACGGGGTCTCGCTCTTGCTCGGGCTGGTTTCGAACTCCTGACCTTGAGCGATCCACCTGCCTAGGCCTCCCAGAGTGCTAGGATTACAGGTGTGAGCCACCACGCCTGGCCTGTATGTGACTCTTAATTAGAAAACATATTTCAGTTATAGTTTTGTATGTAACATCTTTTTTTCCTATTTATGTGAGATAGAACATTTGATTCCATCTTCTATTAGGGTTTCACAAGTGTATCTTGCTGTTGATGAAAGACTTGCATCTTTGAAAACTGATACATTTAGCAAAACAAGAGAGGAAAAAATGGAAGATATTTTTGCACAAAAAGAGGTAATTCATTTCTTTTTTTATAGAAAATACAAAAGGTAACTATTAACTTACTAGAAGTTTCTTTTGGGAGTGTGTGTATATAACGCCTCAGGTTATGAAATTGTTTCTGTTCCTTGTAGATGGAAGAAGGCGAGTTCAAGAACTGGACTGAGAAGATGCAAGCAAGGCTCATGTCTTCCTCTGTAGATACCCCTCAGCAACTGCAGTCAGTCTTTGAGTCACTCATTGCCAAGAAACAAAGTCTCTGTGAAGTGCTACAAGCTTGGAATAACAGGTATGATTTTGCAGTCTGGTTTCCTTTTAATATTATTGCCATATTGCTCTGCCATGGTATTTTTAAATTTAAAAAGTTTTATTATGAATTTTCATTTTACTCTCAAGTTATAGAAGCTTTTGTTTTTTATCACCCTCCTATCCCTTTATCCTTTAAATTATATATGTAAATCTTTAGTTTGTGAAGATTTAAAACTAAAGATGAGAATAGCCTTTTTTTCCAATATAATTTGAAACAATGCTTTTTCAAATGTGTGCTCCATTGAATCATATTTAACTGAGTATGCCAGAGTGATTATTGGTTTTTGGGTCAGCAACTTCAAATATATTGACATGTTTATGTTAAACCTTTATTTAAATATTTTTAGAAATATTTTTCTTTGTAATAATTTCCTATTGTTTTATAGCTATAGACATATCAGCAAGAGCACTTGGTTAGTCAATTAAATACAGAATAAGATACTTAGTCTTATTTATATACAACTTTAAAGTCTATTATGATCTAAATAGGAAAATTTATTATGTTTTCAGGGTTGTAAAGAGAAAATTTATAAACCTCATTGAAGGTGCTGGAAATAAAACCATGTATTTTTCTTCTTCTGTTGTTGCTGCTGCTTTTTCCTTTGGCCATAGGTTACAGGACCTTTTCCAGCAGGAAAAGGGTAGAAAGCGACCTTCTGTTCCTCCAAGTCCTGGAAGACTGAGACAAGGGGAGGAAAGCAAGGTAATAAAATGTAGTCTTGTCTTTGGTCCTTCATTGATAGATATATAGTTAGTTCTATTTATGACACTTATAAGTGGTAGTTTAATACATACTTTATTAATAATAACAAGTGGGGTTTTGCATTTTGAAATTATGAGGTTTCAAGGAAATAGGACCTGGATTACTTTTATATCCTAGCATGAAATAAAATGACCTGTTACAGTACATTTGTTTGAAATATTTATGAAAGCTCCTATCCATTGGCATCACTGAAGATAGCATCATGGTGATAGCAAGTGCTACAGAGGAAAAGTTATGGATGCTCTGAGCATATAATAGAGTCCTCATTTATTGTACTATACAGTTTTGGATGTTCTTTATCTCTGTACTTAAATGAGAAGCTTCTCTTAAGGTATCTGAACTGGGTAAGTTCTACATGTTGATTTAATTTGTCTTTATGAACTTTATTAGTTTTCTCTTGCTTGGTAACAGATTACTCCAAACGTAGTGTCCAAAAGTACAGATTTATTATTTCATAGTTTCTGTAGGTCAGAGTTCTGGAACATATGGCTGGGGTACTCTGCTGAGAATCTCACACAGCTAAAATCAAGGTTTGGGCCTGGGCTTCTGTCTTATTTGAGGCTCAGGATCTTCTTCCAAGCTCATTCAGGTTGGTGACAAAATTCAGTTCCTGGTAGTTGTAGGACTGATGTCCCTGTTTTTTTTGTTGGTTGTTGACTAGAGGCCATTTGTAACTCCTAGAGGCTGGCTGCATTTCTTGCCATGCGATCCCCTCCATCTTCAAAGCCTGCAGCAGTGCATTGAATCCTTCTTGTGCTTCAAATCACTTATTTTCTCTGTCTCTGATCTATATAGACACAGATTTAAGGAATCATGGGATTATGACAGGTCCATCTGGGTAATCTCCCCATGTTGAGTTCAAATGATTTGGGACCTTAATTATATCTGCAAAGTCCCTTCACAGCAATTCCTAATTTAGTACACATGCTCCTCAACTTACAATGGGGTTATGCCCTGGTAAGCCCATGATAAATTGAAAACATCTTAAATGTTGAAAGTGCATTTTAGACTTGATGATATTTTCAGTTTATGACGGGTTTATACAGACATAACCCCATTGGAAGTCAAGGAGCATACTGAATGTGTATTGCTTTTGCACCATCATAAAGACAAAGTTGAAAGTTGTGAGCTGAACCATTATAAGTCAGAGACTGTCTGTATTTGATTCAGTAATTGAGAGAAGGTGTGTATATACCAAGGGCTGGGAATCTGGGGCCATTTTAGAATTCTGCCTATCATACTGACTGTATTTCACATGAATTAATGCCAGTATCTTATAAAGGCTTCATCTTCTATCACAAGAGCTTTTGAGAGATTATTTTCTTTTTGTACAGTGTGCAGTATTTGTAGAAGAATATTTTCATGGAATCATGGATTCAAGTGCCTTAGATAGTTTTCTTATTTAGTGATAAATAATGAATTCTTCCTTTTTGTCTCTTACACAACTGTGTAGGAATCACTTTTCCTTAAGTAAGAATAAGGCTACAGAGGATGATATGTATGTTAGTATTTGAAAACTAGTCTACAGTTATTAATGATTAATGTAGTTTGCTGGTGGCCTTTCCATTTGCTCACTGAACAAACTGTAAAGTTGATGGTGTAAGATCTTTAAATTATAGCATGTAGACATAGAATTGAAGATATAAAATCATTCAACAGATGATCATCTTTTGAAAGGCTGAATGTTGATTTCAAATCCTGTAGCCCTTGTCCACAGGAGATAGGTTTCAAGATCCCCAGTGGATGCCTGAAACCACAGATAGTACTGAACCCTATTTATACTATGTCTTTTCATATACATATGTACCTATGATAAAGTTTAATTTATAAATGAGGCACAGTAAGAGATTAACAATAACTAATAGTGAAATAGAACAATTATAGCAATATGCCAGCATCACTACTCTTGTGCTTTGGTGCCCTTATTAAGTAAAATAAGGGTTACTTGAACACAAGCACTGCCATACCACGATAGTCAATCTGATAACTGAACTAGCTATTAAGTGACTAAGGGGTGTATAGTGTAGACAGCATGGATATGCTGGACAAAGAGATGATTCATGTCCTGGGCAGGACAGAGCAGGATGGCACAAGGTTCCATATGTTACTCAGAACAACATGCAATTTAAAATTTATGAATTGTTTATTTCTGGAATTTTCCATTTAATAATTTTGGACCAAGGTTGACTATAGGTAACTAAAACTTAAGAAAGTGAAACCATGGATAAGGGAGGACTACTGTATTTACATGATAAATAATTCTCTAGGACTTATTATGTGCTAGGCATGATTCTGAGGTCAAGGCATACAGTTATGAACAAAGACCATAGTTACTGTCCTTGTGGAACATTTGCCTAATGACAATAAATATATGAACCAATAAACATTTAAAAAATATGTAAAAGAATCTGTGAAGACAAAAATAAGAGAGGGAGCGAGAGAGTATTGCTGAGGGAGTAGGTGGTGGGTTATTTTATATAGAGTGGCCAGGGAGGTGTCTCTGATATGGTGACCTATAATTGAAGACCAAAAAAATGACTTTGTAATGAAATTGGACATGGGCCTTATAGTCATTCTAAATATATTCTTATATATAGATAATAGGAATTCAGAAGATTCATTAGATAATATAAGATTACTAGGCTCAATGGATACTCCTGAGTATTCCCAGATGCTTTAATGCTAAGAAGTGAGCTCTATTTAGAACACTATTCTCAAGTGTGGCTTAAGGACTCCTGAGAGTCTCAGACCCTTTCATGGACTCTAGAAATTTTCTCTTTTTCAGCTGCATATCTGCATGAAGCCAATTTTCTTTATGTACTTCAGTCATAACAATATATCCCAACATATTAAATGCAAAAGCCAGATATAAATCTGTCTTCTATTTAACTAGACATTAAAGATATTTGTCAAAATGTAAAGCAATATCACTTTTCCACCTATTTTTTTCTAATTTTGGAACATAAGTATGTTTTTATTTAATAAATGTTACTTACGTTTATATGTAGTAGACTTGTTATTTTTAAATGAATAGATGCATATTTTAAAACTTCCTCAGTTTTAATTTCTAATAAGGGAAACAAAAACTTAATTTAAGGGGATCCTGAGTAATTTTTAGGAGTGTAAACAAGTCCTGAGACCAAAAAGTCTAAGATTCACCAGGCTAAAAAGTTTTTTAATGTTATTTTAATGTTTTCCTTAAGGATGAAGTATTTATTTTTCTGTAGATAAGTGCAATGGATGCATCTCCACGGAATATTTCCCCAGGACTTCAAAATGGAGAAAAAGGTTGGTTCTTAAGTCTAGTGATCATTTGCCATTGGATTTAAAGAAATTTCTTAGTGTACAAATTATTTTTAACTGCCAACTTTGAGCATTTTTTTCTGGTGCAATTGTTCATAGACTTCTCTTCTGTAGAGCATTTGTAACCCTTATCAGTTTAAGATTATCATATGGTGTATTACAAGAAGATAAAATTAGGTTATAGAAATACATGAAATACAAAGGGTGATGTTATTAGAGGAAGAAGAAATAGAAAAAAGGAAATTGGATTTCTATTTTGCTTGTCCCAAGTCAACCCCCTTAATGTCACTAAAATATTTTCTAGACACAAGATGTCTTTCACAGTATTCATTGAATAAGTTGGTGTCATCATAGAAACTTTGTGGGGAAATTTATGTAGGCTGTCTTTTTAGAACAAGAGCTCAATTTATAATTCTTTCTATTTTTCTCTTATGATTTAATGGTTTCTTTCTCCCCTAGAATAAGGACGTAGTTTTCCCCACAGTATTCTAATTTCATTCTCTATTAAACTGAATGAACTAATATTTAGGTAGGCATTGTGGTATAGTGAGAAGAGTTGGATAGGAGTCAGACTTGATTGACAGTTGCAGTACTGCTACCAGGATTTGACTGTGGTCAAGTCATATATAACCTTTCTGGATTTTTGTGTCTATTTCTATGACATGAGCTACTTGACCTAGATGCTTTTGAAAAGTAAAAATTCTGTTTTAGAAAGTAGAAATATGAATTGACATTAGAAAATTAATATTAGATAGAAATAAATGGATGTAATATTGGTAAATGACTCATTTAAGAGTGTATTTTTCTTTAGAGGATCGCTTCTTAACTACCCTGTCCAGCCAGAGCTCTACCAGTTCTTCCCATCTCCAGTTGCCTACTCCACCTGATGTCCTGTCTGAGCAGTCAGTGGGAGGGCCCCCTGAGCCAGATACGGCCAGCAGTTCTGAAGGTACAGTTTAAGTCACTTTCATTGTACTTCACTGAATCTAAGACTGAAAGATGTATCTTTGCTATATGTGTGTCTCCAAGGAAGAAAAAAACTGCTAATTCTTTGTAGCAGTTGCTTTCTTATCTCTTGGAATGATGCTTTCTTATCTCTTGGAATTTTTCTACTTTGTACTTATTGAAAATGCTTCTTTAGATGCAACTTTTTAACATATTATTTCTTCCTTTAGTTGTACTACTTGGTATGTAAATATCTCAGTAACAAAATGTCATTTAGCTTCATCTACTTTCTGGGGATCTTATTCTCTTAAGTTTCATAAAGCATGTGATTGTAGCTTTGTAAGAAAGTAAGAAAATTGCAGCAATTTCTCCAACAACAAATATTTGCTCCATAACAGCAAATTTACGTCTTGCTCCTCTCTTTCCTTGCTTTCTATTTAAGCAGTAACTACTTACTTATAGTATAAACTTTGAAATTAACTTTAAAATTTCTATTACATTCAGGTGTAATAGCTACAGTGCACAAAACTGAGTTGAAGTGACAACACGAACAGCTGTGACTAAGTTGATGCTTGCTTAAGCAGAAATCCCATCATGGCTGCTATCTGGCTGATGTAATGATTGTGGGATGATCTCAATTTCAGAGACATTAAAAAATATTTTTAAATGATTGAAAAAAAAGTTTTAAAAATGTTTAAAAAAAAAGTCCCTTGGAGTCAGTGCTGTGTATGCCTCACAGTTGCTTCTTGTTTCATCCAAATCAGAAATTTTAAACTGTAATTAGTAATTATAGTGTGCATATGTTTGTATTCTGAAAAGGAAAAGAAATAAAGTCAATATTTTTTACTCTTTATTTTCTCTGAATATTCATATATAAGTAGACTATTTTTCATTTTAGATGTGTTTGATGGACATTTGCTGGGATCCACAGATAGTCAGGTGAAAGAAAAGTCAACTATGAAAGCCATCTTTGCAAATTTGCTTCCAGGAAATAGCTATAATCCTATTCCATTTCCTTTGTAAGTATTATTAAAGCCAGTGGCTATTGGGTGGTTTTATTTTTCCTTAATTTAAAAAAGTCTCTTGACTTGTCTACATATTTAGATAAAGTTTATTGGTATACATGTATTTCTCAATCCTAGATTTCATTTCATCATAATAAAAGATGTCTTTTGATACAGTGTAATTTATAGAACATGTAATCATTATATAGTACATGAATGGATGAAGAAAGCATTACCTAATATTGTTTAATTCTAATATTACTGGTTCTGAAAACAATATATCTTTTCTTTTGAAGATACACTGCTGTATCAGTTATCTCATAATAATAAAAACATTGCTGGTTGTATATGAGGATGGTATTACTGGCCTAATAATTTACTGAGACATGCCATTGTTCTAGCAGGGATGATGAATTATAGTGGCCCATAGTAGTTTTTATATGATCTTTTTGTGCTGGGCTCACTCAGATTGGGAAAGAATATAGATTGGCTGTGAAAGTTTGTTTTTCTTCCACTGGTTGACCTGTGTGGCCATGAAATGCTGTTCTTGTTATGGTGGTACAAGTATATCCAAAAGGTGAACATTAGTCAGAACTTCTATTTTTTCTTAATTAACTTACGCGTTTATTCAGTCAATATTCAAACTTTTATTTAGTGCCTACTCTGGTGCCCTATGATGTAGAATAAGATTCATAAGGAAGAAAAATCACTGCTCTTAGGAGCTCATGATCTTGGAGAAGAGACAAGTAGAGACTCAGTATAGTATGTGATATGTCACATGATAGTAGTATGTATAAGGTCCCTATTTTTTTTACCTCAGATCCGAATATCTTAATTTCTTGAATGGGCTGTGATCCTTCATACTCTTACCTTTTTTCTTAATCATTAAGTCCTATTCTTAGGCAAACATTACTAGGACCTTCCCCAACCCTTCCCCTAGCCAGATTAGTTCTCTTTGTTATATGTTCTGGTGATTCCTATCTTAGTTCAGGCTTCTGTAATGAATTACCATAGACGGGGTGGCTTATAAACAACAGAAATTTATTTCTCACAGTTCTGGAGGCTAGAAGTCTGAGATTAGGGTGTCAACATGGTTGGGTTCTGGTGAGGGCCCTCTTTGGGATTGTAGATTGTCATCTTCTCTTTGTTCCTCACATGGTAGAAAGAGGGTTAGAGAGCTCTCTCAGGTCATGAATTCCATTGATGAGGACCTCATGACCTAAATAACCTTTCAAAGCGCCCACCTCTTTATGCCATCACATTGGGGGTTAATATTTCAACATATAAATTTGGGGAGGGGGAACGCAAATGTTCATTCCACAGTAATTCCCCCATAGCACTTATACAGTGATTATATTTATTTGTAGGATTATTTGTTTACCTCACAAAACTGTAAACTCTGTGATGCCTATTTTTTTCACCATTGTAACTGTTAACATCTCACACATGTAAGGTGCTTAATAATAGCTTTTCTCCATGTTATATCCCTGGCACATTAGGTGCTTGGAAAATAGCACCTAAATATGAATAAAATGAATGATGGTGCCTAACAGTGCCTAGGGCAGTTAGAGTAGAAGTCAGGTGAACAAAATTGAGTTTCCACATTATAATAGTAGAGTGGCTATATTGTATTATTTGTTGTTGGATTAGTAGTATATCTTCTCTACAATTTCTAGAAGACTTCTCTAAAGCTTATAATAGAACAAAATATTTTAGACTTCCACTGTTCATTGTAAATTCTTTTTGAGATTAATATGACCAAAGTCTTGGGCAGTATGGAAACTTCTTTGAAGTGACTATTTCAGAACCCTCCGATTTGAAACCTAATTTTGATAATTTTCTAATTGCCTTCAACAACTTTCTCTTGATATCTTTTTGTAGCCTATTTGATTCACGTTATCAGAATCTGCATACATTTCGGCTTTCTTAATTATATTCTTATTGTACAGTATTTATTTAACTCAGAATTGTTCTGAGATTTACTCGTAATGTGTTAATGGTTTTTATGTGTGATTTTTTGCAAAGTTTATTCTTATTTACTTATGTACTCAAAAAATTTGAACAGTGATCCAGATAAACACTACTTGATGTATGAACATGAACGAGTGCCTATTGCAGTCTGTGAGAAGGAACCCAGCTCCATCATTGCTTTTGCTCTCAGGTAATTATTCGTGAGACTTTTTCACCTGTGATTATATCTGTGTATTTTATGTATGTCCATAGATCTTATTTTGGGGGATCTTTTGCATTGTATAAGCAAAATGATTAATTATAAGCAAAAATATATCTTTAGTCATAATAGCCTATTCTCTTTGTACCTGAAAACCTTTCCTTTACCCAAATAATGGGGTATAGGATGATTCTTAAGCAAGCTCCTAATAACTAAATTGAGTAGGCAAGTTATTTACTGATTCTTGAATTCTCTAACCATTGTTATATGTGGCTCTTGATCCTTTCCTTCAATTTACTTATTGACATAATACTTGGAACATCCATCTTGCCTTATATCATCTGAATATCTTTTCTTATATTCTTCGCTTACTAATATTCTTCACCCCCATTCCTTCCTGCTTCACACACACATATGAGGTAAAGTGTTCCTACTTAGAGTACAGTAGTGCCTTAAAACACATTCCATGGGGGATGTGTTTTAAGACTCCGAGTTGATGCCTGAATGCATTGATAGTTATGAACCATAAATATACTATATTTTTTCTTATACATACATACATATAATAAAGTTTAATTTATAAATTAGGCACAATGAGAGATTAACAGCAATAATAGAACAATTTTAACAATACATTATAATAAAAGTTATGTGAATGTAATCTCTCCTTCTCTTTGAAAATATCTTAATATTTTAAGACTGTAGTTGATCTTGAGTAACAAACCATGGGAAGTAAAACTGTGGATAAGGGGGTCCTACTGTAAGCTGTTCTTATGCCTTACCTTATAGACATTTCTGACTTTTTAATTTACACCATTATCATATATCTTAAAGAGGTATCCTACTTTAAAAATATTTATATAGGCCGGGCGCGGTGGCTCACGCCTGTAATCCTAGCACTCTGGGAGACCAAGGTGGGTGGATTGCTCGAGGTCAGGAGTTCGAAACCAGCCTGAGCGAGAGCAAGACCCCATCTCTACTAAAAATAGAAAGAAATTAATTGGCCAACTAATATATATAGAAAAAATTAGCCGGCCGTGCAGGCGCGCTCATGCCTGTAGTCCCAGCTACTTGGGAGGCTGAGGCAGAAGGATTGCTTGAGCCCAGGAGTTTGAGGTTGCTGTGAGCTAAGCTGACAGCCATGACACTCACTCTAGCCTGGGCAACAAAGCGAGACTCTGTCTCAAAAAAAAAAAAAAAAAAAAAATTTATATAGTATGCCTAAAACAGCAAAACTTTTGAATCCTAGGAGTATCTTGGAAGTGTTGAAGTTATTTTAAGTAGAATCTAGGATATTTAATTACAAATTTTTCCATTGAAATAGATCAAACTTTTTAGATAGTGGTTATATGAAGCCCATTTATTCAACAAATATTTAAATATCTACAAAACGATATAGTAGGTATTAGATATGTAGGAGTGAAAGAAATAGACTTATGTGCCTCTACCTTTATGGAGTTTAGAGTTTACTGTTTGTATAATTAGGAATTTTTTCCTTTGTAAGATTCCATATGATGAAATCTTTACCTTTTGGCCTATATGAAGATAGTATTTGCTTCTCACTATATTGATAATAGATAAGAAAGGTAGGAAAGTCAACCAAATCAAAAATATTTTTTTTACTATTAGGAAGCAAGTATTCTAGTTGAGGTCATTTTCTTTCAATGTCTTGGAAAAATAATATATCCTAACATGCCTCTATTGTTCCATGCCATTAGATTTATCTAAAGCAGGGCTCCCAGACTGCTGGTCTAAGAGTCAGATTATTTTTGGATAATAGAACATTAAAAATAAATTTTTTCCATTAAAGTTTAATACCTTTAAGTAGAAAAGCACTCTGAAGTTTCTTTATTCTCTATAGTACTAAACCCTGAGAATTCAGACTTTAAAGTTAACCTGTTCAACCCCTGAAGTCATTTGATCCAAGTGTCAGTACACAGGCTTTTTAAATCTTTGCTGAAGATATTGATACTGCTTGGTGAGTTGGTGGGTTGTATTTTCTATTCTCTGTGAAGACATTGACCTTCCTTGTAAAGCTTCTGCTTAATTGCTTTTGTTAGTTAACCAAAATGTATTTAATTATGTGCACTTAAAATGATTGTGCTTCTATAAAGCAAAACTTACTCTAAAACACAGGATTTATTTTTAAAGTAGAACTTAATGTTTAACATTTTTCAATCTATTTCTTCCCTAAGTTGTAAAGAATACCGAAATGCCTTAGAGGAATTGTCTAAAGCGACTCTGTGGAACAGTGCCGAAGAAGGGCTTCCAACAAATAGGTGATTCATGATTGAGTAGAATCTATTTTGGTTTAGTTAGATCATCATTTTCTATATGCTTGTACTTTAGTTTTATTACAGCACCTTATCAGTATAAAAATTTCTAATATCTAGATAATGACACTCATATTTTGATAGAGACAACAAATAATAGAGACAAAATTCAAATATAGCAAAAAACCTTAAACGGTCCCTTAGGATACAGTTTTCTGATAATTGTTATAGCTATTCAATATATATTACAGGTTTAAACTTTAAATGTTTTTGAAAAAAATGAAAAAGTTGTTGTTACTTAAAAAATAGTAACTTATAAAATTGGTAAGCTACTACATGGCTTTGTAATCCAAAATATCTGTGAATTGTTCATTATAGCTAAAGATCCTAATAGTTTAAAAAAAATCCAAACCAGTTCTTTTAGCGTGTTCAGTATTTTAGACATTTATGTAGAAATTGTCGCAGGCCTACTATTATGATTCTTAGTGAAATCAAGGGTTTCCAGCTGGAAATTAGGGTTTCCAGCTCCACTAACATGATAAAATTTGATCTGAATTATTATGGTAACTAGTGTGAGAAAAATGAATTTGGCATTTTCTGTATTGTTTAACTTACAGGTGCTGATCTAATGCTAATGGACTTAGGGGAAAATATTGTAAAAGTCTATACTTCCATGCGTTTTTATAGTTATAGTGTTTTACTTTTTTTAATATACAGTAGATATTTAAAGACTTTTTCTTCCATGTTCCAACCTGTGTTTATATGAATTATGAATCAGATTTGTGATATTGTGGGTGGGGTTAGGTGGGAAGTTAATAAATGTAGGAATCAGATTACTTGCTATTTTCTATCTAAAATTAGTATACAACCAAATTTTCCTTTGTTTTTCATTTTAGTACTTTAGACAGCAGACCAAAGAGTAGCAGCCCTGTTAGATTACCTGAAATCAGTGGCGGACAGACAAACCGTTCTGCAGAAGCAGATCTACAACCAAGTAAGATTACAAATGAAGTATTTATAATTAGTTTTATTTAAAATTATGGTTTGAAAAAGAAAACACATAAAAACCAGTGCTATCTGGCAAGGATTTACTACTTCTGGTCTTTGAAATATATAGAAATATAAACATTTTATATATCTTTTATAGATGTTTTACTTTTCCTTTTTGATTCTTACCTTAAGTGTAAATTTGAAGTATTGAATTTGAAACACTTAGAAGCTCCTTGGTCTATGCAAAAAGGAGAATCTTCCTTCCTAGAGCTTTCAGTGTAAAATGTACCACCTAAGATATAAATAGCAAGTTTTTTTTTAAAGTTTTTTTAGTTTTATAGCCTTATTGGCACTATGAAAAGAAATTTTTATGCATTATTATCTTAACCCTTATAGTAACCTCAAAGTATTATTTGTCATATCCTTATTTTTCAGAAAGAAAATTAAGGTTTAGATTAAGTAACTTGCTCAAGATTAGATAGTCAGTGATGGAGCTGGAGTTGAATTTGGGTTTGGGTCTCTTTGACTGTGTCAGTTAGAAATGTATTCAGGCTACCAGTGGCAGAAAATTAACCTGACTATAAGGGCTTAAACAAATGGTAGTTTATTTTTCTGAAATAATTACACCTGGACATGAGCAGTTGCTGGCAATAGTCTAGCTGCTCAGTGTTGTTATTTCAGTACAGGGATAATTTCTCTATGATTCTTTTAAGTTTCTCATGGTCAAAAATGTTCCATTTTTGTCCACTTTCAGGACAGAAAGAAGGGTGGTGTGAGCTGCAGCTATTCTTTTTTATTAGGAAAGCAGAAACTCCCTCTTTAGTTTCATTGGTCAGAACTGAGTCTCAGGGCCACCTCTGATATGAAGGAGACTGACAGAGCAGGGATCAGCACATCTTGGTTGGCTCATACAAATTATGATCCATTTCCTGGGGCTCACACATAGCTGTCTCCTGCTCCCCAAAATCAGAATTCTGTTAGCTATAACCAGATAGTAGATACTAAGGAGGCCATAATAGTGTCTACCACCCTAAGTATAGTTTCCATGGATTTTATAAATGGTAAATTTATAAGATTAGAAGCATACATATTAACAGTATGATGAAGGAAGCTCAAAACTAGGAATAAAAGTATAGCACAAGCTTTATTAAATCCTGGCCGTCCTATTGCCTTTTTTTTTTTTTTTTTGAAGAATGCTAAAAATGAACCTTATATTTTCTTGTGTTAAAATGTAGGAACACAAATGACACAAATATGTTACCTGTAACTGAATTTTTTTTAGCTTGTGAAATTGTTTTGTGTTAGTTTAATTAGCTATATTGCAATACTATTTATTTATTGATTGATTGATTGATTGATTTTTTTTATTTTTTATTTTTTTGAGACAGAGTCTCGCTTTGTTGCCCAGGCTAGAGTGAGTGCCGTGGCGTCAGCCTAGCTCACAACAACCTCAAACTCCTGGGCTCCAGCAATCCTTCTGCCTCAGCCCTCGGAGTAGCTGGGACTACAGGCATGTGCCACCATGCCCGGCTAATATTTTTTTCTATATATATCTTTAGTTGGCCAATTAATTTCTTTCTGTTTTTTTAGTAAGGACGGGGTCTTACTCTTGCTCAGGCTGGTTTCTAACTCCTGACCTTGAGCGATCTGCATCTGCCTCCCAGAGAGCTAGGATTATAGGTGTGAGCCACTGAGCCTGCCTTATATTGCAATATGACAAGAACTCAACCCTAATTTAATCTTGTTGCTTAAGATATTCACTGTCATTGAAAGATATTTTTGAAAGGGTTTCTAGAGAATTTATCAGATTTTTATACTCAACTAGCTGAGTATTGCTTTCCATCTGTGTTTCTAAGGGTGCTTGACTACTCAAAAACAGCAGCACATGGAATAATAATCTGTGCAACTGACTGTGTCTGCATTACTCAGATTTGTGGTTACTGTTAACAAAGGAATGAATTGAAAGTTTTTATTTTCTAGTTGCAGTGACCTGTACCTAAAATTAATATGTTATTTTCTTATTTTAAGCCAAAAAGCCTTCTGGAATGTTGTCCTTCTTCAGAGGAACAGCAGGAAAAAGCCCTGATCTCTCTTCCCAGAAGAGAGAGACTTTACGTGGAGCAGATAGTGCATACTACCAAGTTGGGCAGATGGGCAAGGAGGGGACAGAGAATCAAGGCCTTGAGTCTCAAGGTGTGTTAAAGGAGACCAAATGTACTCATTCTAGGCTTTGATTTATTTATTTTAGTTGTTTATGTTCCTTAGAGCCTTATGTAGATAATTCTTATTGCGGAAGCTGTGGCATTCCCCTCTTCTCACTCCTCAGTGTGGTAGAGTGGCAAAAGCATGGAATTTCGAGAGTCTGTTTACAGATTTCATTGCTATCACTCTGTAGTAGCATCAGAAATCCTTAGATTCTATATCTGTAAAGTGGCAAAATGTCTTCCAAGGTTTAGATGACATTACGCAGGTAAAACATCTATCTCAATATATAATTCATAGTATGAATATATACTCAAATGTTTTCCTTCTGTTATTCCCTTAAATGTTTTCATTCTTTTCCTATCCCTGTAAGGTTGTGTCTATTTATGTCCACCTTCATTTTGATATTTAAAAATCTATATCTACCTCATTGTGTTTGGTTATGAGTTTAGACCAGGAATTGGCAGACTATGCTGACCTGTTTTTGTAAATAAAGTTTTATTGGGACATAGGACTACTCATTTGTTTACTTATTGTATGCTTACTTTCATATTATATTGGCAGGTTGAATAGTTGCAACTAAATAAAATATTTACTTTCTGGCCCTTAATAGAAATAGTTTATTAATCCCTGTGTTAGACCATGATTAGTAGTTTAAAAAATAGCAACTGCTATAATAAATTTTAATTAGTAATTAAGATATCTGTTTAGTATCCTATAGGTTGTTATTAGGCTGTAGGTGTTTAAATGTGATCCTTGGAAGGCTTCAATGTTTGAAAAAATGATTTCGAAATGTGAAACTTAGGGAATGATTTGTTCTTCAAGATATTAAGATGTATTTCAAATCTATGGTAATTAAACAGAGTGAATCTGGCAGTAGGTTTGCCAGACAAATAAAACACACAAAATAGCTCTAAGTAGACTAATACATTTTATATTATTATATGTATATCTTACTATATGATAAGGTGGCACAAACTATCAGGGAAGCATTATTCCACATACATGAGGAAATCTGGCCATAAAACTCTGATAAAGAAGCCATGGAAATTCTTGGTATAAGAGCTGAGTTACTATATTTCTATCATAGAAATCACTCAAAAATGTAAAAAACATTATTCAACCTGAATTCTCTTTTTTAATCTAAAAATTGAAATTTCAAAAGATACATTGAAATTGTTTACATAGTTTTGATTGTGTATTTAATGCTTGCTTAATAGTGACTTGACTTGGATATTTTTACTTTGATTTGCTAATTTTTATTATGTTGGGGGGGAAAAGGGCAAAATGAACTGATAACTACTTAAAACTTTGTCTTTACTAATGATATTAAACCTTTTAGATGAGGTAGATGGAGGAGATACACAAAAGAAACAAATCACAAATCCTCATGTGGAACTTCGTAAGTATGAAATAATATATTGTTGGTTGGGGGAAGGGAACTGTATTTGGGTTAAACTCTATTATTAAGACTTCTAGTTTCATTTTAGATAAATATCCTGTTTCTTTAAATGAATATTAACTTTGCGTACTGACCTGAGTTATATGTGAACTGTAATTTAGTTTATAGATTTACATTATTTAATTTATAAAGAAATTTAACCTAGAAACTTAATTAAATTATAATTTAATTTATAAAATATGCTTTTATTTAATTTCTAATATTTAAATATTATTGTATAATCTAGAGCCATAGAGCATTGATAGAACATTCAGAATTGTATATATGATTGCCAGAAATATATGATCAAGAATAATATCATTTACAGTAAATTTTAAGATTTTTGTTAAGAATTGCTATAAAAGTACCATGATGAAACTATAGTAACTAATATAAAATTAGATGAGTCTTATTACTGTTTGATATTTTTTCTGAAAAAATGTGAGGGTGGTCATAAGAGGTTAATTTCCTTTGAAGACCACTTTAACAGAATTGTGATAAACAGGGATTTAGACTTAACATGAAAAATACTATCATGGAGAAACTTAAATGGTTGCATTGGGCCAGGGCTGGGAGTGGAAGGGAGAAGGAAAAGATGTTTTCTGAATCACAAAACACATTTAAAAAAAAAAAAAAAAACAAAAAAAACTTCTGTTTATAGAATTTTCTGATGCAAATGCAAAGTTTTACTGTCGGCTCTACTATGCGGGAGAGTTTCATAAGATGCGTGAGGTGATTCTGGGCAGCAGTGAGGAAGATTTCATTCGTTCCCTTTCCCACTCGTCGCCCTGGCAGGCCCGAGGAGGCAAATCAGGAGCTGCCTTCTATGCGACCGAAGGTAAATCTTTTCCAGTCATTTATAGGTTAATCTCTATCTTTTCCCTTCAGGCGATTTATGAATCACTTGAACTGAGGTAGTATGGTATCATCTATTGGCAAACTGTTTCTTTTCTTAAATTTTAAAGGATGTGATAAAATACTGAAAAGAATATACATGTATATGTTTGTAATGAGACCCAGGCACCGATCGAGTCTTTACTAAATTCTTTCTAGTTCTGAGTTTTCCAAATATAAAGAATAACAGAGAACTTCTAGAAAACTCAAAAGGGTACCTCAGAACTGGTGAGAGAAAGGTAAAAATAGAAATATTTAACCTCAAAATAGAAAGGCCAAGTTCTTAACCTATAAAGGTTTACAGAATATCATGACAATTTGTACTTCACATTCCATTCTCTATACCCATTGAAAACATAATTATTTGAGAAAATGCAACAGAAGAGATGTTGCTTGATAAGAACTTTCATAAATGTGACTTACTGGATTATTAACAAGGGAGTTTATAAAGTTTTCTTTAGTAGTTCTAAAAAAGTAGATCATCTAGCAATGAATTTAGGTATGCAGCTGTCAAAAGTAGAGGGTTCTTGACTGTGTAAATCTTCAGTATCCCTTCTAGCCCTTTGGTTAGTGGAGAATTGTTCTCTAATCAAAATTTTCACTGTGACATCAGAAATATCTCTTACAATCATAAAGCATCCAAATCATTTGAGATCTTTGGAATGATGTATTACAGATTACAGTATATATTGTGATTGAATAAACACATGAAATTTCTGCCTTTTAGATGATAGATTCATTTTGAAGCAAATGCCTCGTCTGGAAGTCCAGTCATTCCTCGACTTTGCACCACACTACTTCAATTATATTACAAATGCTGTTCAACAAAAGGTAGAAATCCCAAACTTTGGTCTATAATCAGAGTTTGCTGGGCTTTTTCACATCCTGAGGGTTAGTCATAATGGCAGTTTTCTCTTGAGGTAAGATATGAACAGGACATGACTGGATCTCTGTTGTACTATTGAGGTGTGATAGAATGCAGAGATTTCAAAGCATATTTTTCCTACCTTTGCCAATGAGGAACCAAATATCTTGAGCAAGTTGCTTTTCATTAGTATGTAAATAAAAATTAGCTTAAGACATTAAGACTGGGTGAAATTATCTGGACATTCAGTAATTTTACTGAGAGAGAAATTTGAAACATGTATTGAGAAATGAGGGAATGCCTCCCATTACTAGAGGCCAATGGCCCAGGTTTGCCCACCTATCATTGAGTGGTGACTCCACCCCCTGTAAGATTATGAAAGAGTTACATAGGTTTTTGTAAATTATGATTTATTTTTATTATTTGTCATTGGGGGAAATTACATATCCTAATTAAGTTTTTGAAATTGAGCAACCGAAGGGTTATCTTTTGGAAGAATGTTAAGGATCTGATATTTTTATTGGCATTGCTGCTATACGTACTTCTGAGATTCAAAGATTTGAGTTTCATTCAAGGTCCTTTGGCTGGTCATATCAATAGAAAATCATGTTCAGACATTATGCAGATAATCTAGGTATTGGTATTAAATTATAAATAACTCTTTTTGATAAGAGTTTACTTTGTTCTTTTCTTGATTAGAGGCCTACTGCATTGGCCAAAATTCTTGGAGTTTACAGAATTGGTTATAAGAACTCTCAGAACAACACTGAGAAGAAGTTAGATCTCCTTGTCATGGAAAATCTTTTCTATGGGAGAAAGATGGCACAGGTAAGGATATTAGAGTATGTGAAACATTTGGCTACTGGAACCTTTTGTACTTTTGGTCTTTGAATATAATGAATCAGAGAATAACATTTTATAGTAAATATTTAACTATGGTTGCTATTCCAAAATTAACTTTTGTTGAGCCTTGGAGGAAAGAATAAAGAAGAATTATTGATGTGGATTGGTCCTAAAATTTAACATATCCAATATTCTATTATACAATCACAGAATTGGTAGAATAAGAAGGCAGATCTACTTACAACATCTCAGTTTTAAAGATTAAGAACCTGAGGCCTAGAGGAATTAAGTACTTTATTAATATCACTCAGCTATTCCTAGAACTTAGGTTGGTCTAGGTTCTAGAATAGTGCTTTGCAAAGTGCTGATCCTTAAACTGTTTCCAGTCTGTGATGAGTTAAGGAGCTTGTGCTAGAGTGTAATTTCTTGTAGTGCTTTCTTCCTTGAGAACATCTTGCTATGAGAAAAACATCAGCTGAACTAAACAGTGTACTTAAAGATGTAATTGATTTACATTCTGGCACTAGTTCCCTAATATCAGTGTGAGCCAGAAGCAACTGACCAGTACTGGTCTGTGGAGTACCCTCCAGGTTGTACTGGTCCTAACCTTTGAATGCATTGCTTTTCCTACACCACCCAAATATTCCTGGAATAACGCTGTTGCTTCTGCATTGCCATTATAAGAGTTTGTTATCAAAACTTTGTTTCCTAGACTGTTTGCATCTCTCTATTTTTTAATGCTGCTTTTATGATCCAGATGTATTTTTGGAGTTACTTTCATTAATGTATCTTAAAGCTGATTAAATTGGCCAGTGTATTTCTGTAATGTTTCAGTAATTGAGTACCCAGGTATTAATTTCATGTGATACAATTATATTACCATAGGTTGGGCGCTGTGGCTCATGCCTGTAATCCTAACATTCTGGGAGGCTGAGGCGGGAGGATCACTTGAGGTCAGGAGTTCAAGACCAGCCTGAGCAAGAGTGATGCCCTGTCTCTACTAAAAATAGAAAAAAATTAGCCAGGTGTGGTTGTATCTGCCTGTAGTCCTAGCTACTTGGGAGGCTGAGGCAAGAGGATTGTTTGAGCACAGGAGTTTGAGGTTGCTGTGATCTAGGCTGACACCATGGCACTCTACCCAGGGCAACAGAGTGAGACTCTGTCTCAAAAAAAAGAGAAAAGAATAATTATATTACCAAGTATTTTATATATTATACAATTATATCAGCATGTATTTAGTGACTTAAGTTATAAAAATTATTAAATTTAAAGATCAAAAGAGTATGTAATGATGGTAACTACAGGAGTCTTTCTGCCTTTTAAATTGAATTAATTAACCATTTTTGGCAGCTCACACATAAATGACAAAGATTTTCTTTCTGCTAGGTTTTTGATTTGAAGGGCTCACTTAGGAATCGAAATGTAAAAACTGATACTGGGAAAGAGAGCTGTGATGTGGTCTTGCTGGATGAAAATCTCCTAAAGATGGTTCGAGACAATCCTCTGTATATTCGTTCTCATTCCAAAGCTGTGCTGAGAACCTCGATCCATAGCGACTCCCATTTCCTTTCTAGCCACCTCATTATAGATTATTCTTTGCTGGTTGGGCGAGATGATACTAGCAATGAGCTAGTAGTCGGAATTATAGGTAAGTCAATAAGTCTGCCTTACTTAGAGTTCATGATTGAAGATAGAATAAAACATAAAGATTCTATTGAACCTGGTCTAGTAATAGTTCATTGACTACTTCTACAGACTTTCATTTGAAATTTCAAAAATACTGTTTTTTCATTCTAGCCCCTTCTACTCACCTTCCTGATTTCCATTTTCATTATCTTTATCAAAAAATGTGAATTAAAAAAGTCACTATTAGCTAGATGCAGCAGTGCATACCTATAGTCCTAGCTACTCAGGACGCTGAGGCAGGAGGATCACTTAAGTCCAGGAGTTTGAGGTTAATGTGAGCTCTGATGATGCCACTGCTCTCTAGCCTGAGTAATAGCATGAGACACTGTCTCCAAAAAAAAAAAAAAAAGTCACTAATAAATGAGGCCCTTTGTGATTATTATGAGGATTAAATAAATTAATATGGAGAAAACCCTGAGAAGAGCATCTGACATATCATCAGCACTTCATGAAAGTTAACTATTTTAGACATGGTAGTAATAATCATTTGCATGACTTTACTGCTAATTTCACCTCCTGCCCTCTACCCTCAGATTATATTCGAACATTTACATGGGACAAAAAGCTTGAGATGGTTGTAAAATCAACAGGAATTTTAGGAGGACAAGGTGAGCAGAAATTTTGTTTTGTTTACTCTTTAAACTCTTCTCATGTACTTCTTATTAGTTAAAATTTAAAAAGTGGGTGCTGATTATTTTTTTAGTTCTATAAAATAAGTGACTATCTTTTAATTCATTGTCATTTCTAAAATGACCAAATAATAAGAGGAATAGTATAGATAGGGGAATACTGGGTATAAATTTGTGTTAAAATACCAGAGATTCTCAAAATAAAAAGTTAAAAAAAAAAAAAAAAAGCCAGAGGTTCTGAATAAGAGGTTGTTCTTAACACTTGAGATCTTCTGCATTCTTTAAGCACTGCTGGTCTCATTTTTGCTTTAAAACATGTCTCATCACTAGGCAAAAGCTAGTCTTTTAAAATAGAAACTCTTATCAGGAAGGCCCCTGTCCCATGGCATGTGGCATAGTTGATAACCTTATCTCCTCATTCCATATGTATCCTTATGGCAGTTTATAGGAAAGAGCATAGTTGGTTGCCTGATCAATTATATAATAGCTTCTTTCACTTTTCTCTTTCATAATCTTAGGCAAAATGCCAACTGTGGTCTCTCCAGAGTTGTACAGAACTAGATTTTGTGAAGCAATGGACAAGTATTTCCTGATGGTACCAGACCACTGGACAGGCCTGGGTCTGAATTGCTGAAATCAATCAAGCACATATTTTGAAATGGACGATAAAGGAAAAGAGGGCAGGAACAAAGGACCAAAAATAAGCTACATGTTTTATTTTTTAATCATATTCACCACTCTGTGCAAAGGCCTTTGAGTTCTGTGGCTCTTTAGACTATCCATAATTTTGAAGGGTAATAATTCCATGGATTTGCACTTTGGTTTTTGATACCTGTGGATTAGCTGTCTGTAGGTTGGGAAGTTGCATGAAAATTTTCTCACCTAAGACTTGAAAGGGCTAAGATTAGAGATTAGTAGATAGAGTGAAAAAATGCGTTGTTTTAGTTGCTAACTCAGTTGTTTTAAGAAGAAAGCAATGTGTCATAGATTGTGACTTTCGTGGTGTCACATTTAACATGTTCTTTACTTAGAAAGCATTTGTAAAGCTGCTGAATTTGTTTTGTGTTTTTTATGTAATAATTTAATGTTGCCTATTATCAGAATTTCTGAAACCTTTAGAAAAATTCTGATTTATTCCATAAATGGCCAGTTAAACAGGTTGGCACTTACTGTTTTATTGAGAAATTTGACTTAAACTAGGAATCTTGTAAGGTTCTCTATCTTCTCAATTTGACTTGTTCTTGAGTGTGTTTAATGTTTTAAAAAGTCTGTCTTCTCTGTGGGTGACAGTTGACTAGAGCCATTAACTTTAAGCCTTTTTTGGAACTATTTTTTTAAGCTTGTTTAAAACTTTTATGTAATTAATATATTAAACTGTACTTATCTGCATATGCTCATATTCTAGGTTTTCTCTCCATTTTTAGGGAAACATAGTTATCATTAGTAAATGAGTCTACAGTTATTAAATCCCTAAATCAAGAAATCATTAAGAAATGTTTTTATTATAAAAAATGAATTAGGCCTAATCCAAAAAATTGAGTGAGAAGGAAAGACTTGTTTGTTTTTTATAGAGGTAAAATGTCTTTGCTGATACAACCAGCAATTTAAGTGGCATCTATAAAGTTAAAAAATTTCTGATAGGGACATCCTCATTTTTCTAACTTGCTGCATACTGGCTAGTTCTGACTACTGAGAAATGTTAAGAGATAAAATTATTCTTAGTAAGGAGCTTGTTTAATAGTCATCATTTTTGTTTGATTTAAAAGTGATTGGAAGTACTAAACTGCCTTTGAGGAGATAACTATGACCCCACAATATTACCTCTCGTCTTCTTTCTCTAACAAGGATAATTTGTGGATTTATAAAGTTTTAAGTATTCCACTCTTTCAGCTACCTATAATAGCATGTTAATTTTCACATAATAAGTAATTTGGATATGTTCAGTTATAGAGAGTATCATAAGTACGTGAAGTAGGAATATTTTGGAAAGTTTGCTTTAGAGAATGAAGGTAGTAGTTTGGTATTTGGTGCTTATTAAAAATGTGGTTTGTTCTGGATAAAAGCTGGAAGCAATTTTACCAAGGACTTACGACTGGTCTGATGATAAACCCCTCCCAACCTCTTTTTAAAACATGTGTATGTGCCTTTTGAAGATACACAAAACATTGACTTTAATTTTGACATCAAAGACTAGGAAAGGAGTTGTATAGAGATGAAAGATATGTAGAACATTATTAACTTCTTTCGCTTGCAGGAATAATGGATTTTCTGTCTGATTTGAAATGCCAACACTGTTTTGTCTCTCTGTTCATTTCTTTTTCAGTCAAGATACTTCGGGTTATTTATCCTGTTCATTTCCTGTACCCCCCTAGTCATGAACACTTGAAGTACATGGTGTCTACCCCTAGCTGTAATCAAAGTTGTTTCCTTGTTTTTATTTTCAATACTATATGTATAGCAGGAATGCTTCATGGGAATGGCTTCTGACAGTAATGTGTCATGTTGATTTTGTTTTCCTTGTCCATGACTTAAAAAACTTATGTTTTAAAGTACTGCCTTGTAGGTAATTTTATGGTTAAAAAATTCTAATATAGTATATTCTGAACCAGTAGTTACCACCTTACAAGGGCAATTTGTCCCTTTAAAAATAATGTCTGTGCTGTGTTAATGAAGGAGGAATATAAAATTTAACCATTTGTTTTGAGTGGTAGAACTATATGCCTGGCCTCTTGCTGCTATTATGTAGACCACTATTATATATATAAGATGTTTCAAATGTTATGCTACTCAATGTTTGGCATTGACTATTTTCCTCTCTTGAATTTCCTTTCAAGGCCTAGAGAGTATTAGTGTTGAAAAGTTAGGAATGAGGAAGAAATCTTAATACGTCCTTCCTTAGAATGCAGCGTGAATCCTGAGAATAATTGATAGTAGCAAGAGAAAACTATGTCAACATGTTGCTTTGTATAAAAATCTTATTTGTAAATGTGAAGCTTTTTGATGCCATCAAAACTTATTTTAAAAAACTAGAAAGGATTTACTGTTTTCTTATTCTAGCCTACTGAGAATAAGCTCTTGCAAGCCCTTTTGTAGTTTGTTGAATACTTTATAGATATTCAAAATTTCCTACTATAAAATGTCTTATATTAATAATTTTTTTCCATGATTTAGCTGTGAGTAGTTTTCTAGCTCTGGCTTTTATTGGGTAATGTAATTAGTAAGGTTAGATTGACATCAGCTTTTGAGATGGCTTTGTGGCCATCAGCTTCTTGGCATTTTACTTTTTAGCAATGGGCTTATATAAAAATACCAATGAATATAATTTACCTGTAGAAAAAGTTTGCTGAGCTTGAGTAAAACTATTGTTAATGAGCCTGGTGGTGAAACAGATCAAGCCGTTCATTGTTCCTTAAGTGTTAACATACTGACTTACGCAGTGTTCAAACCATCTAGTGCAATGTTTTTTTGTTTTTGTAACATAAGTGCGTGTATTATAAAAAAAAATAAAAATTACAATCATTAGCAGTTTTATTAATACTGCTGTGTCAGTTTTGTACAAATGTACATTTTATCTTTTGACAGGTTGAATTTTAAACTAGAGAAACGACATTGTAAATCATAACAGTTTATTTAATATGAAAAACTCAACAATATCAAAAGTACTTAATGTATTATATTGTATATATTTCTCTACTTTGATTCTTGCTGTTTTATATGATTGACATGTTACTTAAAAGATAACTGCCTTGACTTTTTGGAGACTTGTACTATAAATAAAGAAGACTTAACAATAAACTGAGAATCTGATTACTCCACTTAGTTTGGAATCTGCTTGAAGAAATTAACAACAAAAGAGAATGAATGGAGTTTGGTGCACAAGCCTGGCCTGGCAATTCCACCATCGGTCCTTTCTGTCCATTCTCTTCACCTCTATTTTACAAGTAGAGAAGGTGTCTCACTTAAACCACGGTTCATTTTGGCCAATGATGGGCATGGCTGTATTGGCCTTCCCATCCTTCCTGTGTTTTCGCTTTCCTGATAGGGCACTCAGGGAAGTCCGGCCCTTTCCTATTTGCGATTGGCTGAATTTGAGGGTGGGCGTGGCTCACGCTATAGGTTCTCTGGTGTAGTGGGGGGCAGGTCTCCGACTACCTGTAGCAGCTGTGGGCGTGAAGCCGTGAATCCACCTTCTCCCTGGGTTCGTGGGGTAAAGGTGAGAGTGGGTGGGTAGAGAAGGCTGGGCAGGTGGCTGGGCTGCGCCGGGAGGTGGGGAGGTCGCAGACTGGCGCCGTGGGCACCTCTGGCTCGCTGCCTCCGCTTTTTCCTGCAGGGCAAAAGAAGTAGGAGGAGGTGCAGCGAGTTCTCCGGTCCCCATTCACCCAGAAGTCTCTTGTGTGGGAAGTTAATTATCTTATAAAATTCCTGGGTTAATGGCTTAGGGAAACTAAAAAGTTTTTAAAAATTATTTTTTGCCCCATAATTACATTTTTATATTTTAATGCAGTTCATGACCAGCATAGTGCTGTGGGGGCATTTTTTACATAAATGAAAACATTTCTTTGAGAAAAAGGCGCATGTTTCTTGAATAGGTAAGAAAAGTGCCCCAATGTCCGCTCCCCTTCTGAGGGAATGCCCCCCATGAAGAGATATACTGGTACCTTAAAAACATTTAGCAAAGCGACCCTTGACCTTCCCAAGCCCCTCTTGGCCCCCCCTTCCCCAGGGGCAGGGCGACGCACTGCTCTCAGGTCATTTGATCTTGAGGCGCTTCAAGGCTGACCGCAAGCTCTTCACTTCTGAAGCGCTCATGCCACAGTCCGGTTGGTGCAGAGCTGCGAGCTCTTGGCTTTGTCCGCGCTGAGCCCCGAGATCTGAGTTCTGGCTGAGGCTGAGTTGGGGGGGGGCACCGCCCTGGCCTCCCTGCTCGCCTTCTTGTTGAGGTTCTGGAGTCGCTCTCGGGCTGTCACTGTGCTGAGGGCTCTGCTTGGGCATATCCAGCCGTCTGCAGAAGCTTATCGTCCTGCCGCGCCATTTGGGAGACAGCACCGGGAAGCAGCCGTGGGCTGCTCCCACCAGGCTTTTTCTGGGCGAGGAAGGCAGTGTCTCCGCAATAGCCACCTTCTTGTTGGCATTGGCCAGGCACACAGTGCTGCGTGGCTAACCCAGCCCCGCGCCACCAGCTGGCTGAGAAGCAGATGCCGCGCACCCAGCTGCAGCTACTGCCGGATGCTTGCTCTCCAAAGGGCGTCTTGGAGCCGCACGGTCTGAGTGTCGGCTGCTCCCCCACCTCTTTGATGTGCGCTGGGAATACCCAGCTCCCATTGGGGTGCCGGTCCAGGCTGAGGATGGTGGAGTGAATGGGCTTGTTGATGTGCTTGCACACTCACCAGTTATTCTGCTCAACTAAGATGGAGGTGACACGGCAGCCGCGCCGCGCGGCAAACTTCTTCTAGTTGGGGACGCAGCGAATGTAGGGGCAGCGAGCATGGGCTCCCGCGAGCGGCCCTTCAGTGTCCACAGGTGGGCGTTTCAGTCTGTACCACAGGTCACATGAAATTACTCGTGGGGGCCCAGTCGTTGCCTTCACCTGCATATTGTGCTACTTGAGCTAGTGCACCTTGGCCCACTTTGCTCTGCTTTTTGCTCTGTGCACTTCCTTGTTGGGGGCAGATAGCGACCTGGGTGTGGTCCTTGTTCTAGGTGGCGGCTGAAGGGGTTCCACCAGGAAGCTGTGGCTTCTCAGGGCGCCCTGGTCTGCGGACTCTGGGCAGGATGTGCTGAATCAGCACTCTGATTTGTGTGTATGTGGGGGGGGGTGTAAAAAATGCATAATATAAGGTTTACCATCTTAATGATTTCTATTCAGTAAGGTTAAGTGCAGTCATACTGTGAAACAGATCTCCAGAACCTTTTCATCTTGTACAACTCATTAACTCCCATTTCTCCCCACCCCCAAGCCTGAGATAACCACCATTCTGTTTCTGTTTCTATGAATATGACTACTTAAGATACCTCATATGAATGGAATCATACTATGTTTGTCTGTGACTGGCTGCTTCACTTAATTTCTCAAGGTTCATCCGTGTTGAAGCCTGTGATAGGATTTCTTTCTTTTATAAGGATGAATTATATTCCATTATGTATACCGTGTTTCCCCGAAAATAAGACCTACCCATAAAATAAGCCCTAGCAGGATTTCTAAGCATTTGCAATAGAAGCCCTACTCCGAAAATAAGACCTAATGATGGGCGTGGCTTCCCAGCATTTGCACAGCTCTTACATTTCCTTGAGGAGTGGTAAAGAAGACAAGCAGCCCTTCTCATCTGCCCCATGAGAGCTCTGTTGCTCGACAGGAGAGATTGGGGCCAATGGTTCTAAAGGAGATAGAGTCGCAAGAAATTCAGGATGGAATTTGGGGTTTGGAGAGTTATGATGATATTCCAGAAGAAGATGACTTAACTATCTTTGAATAAATGTAGATTGCTGTATCATACTTAAAAAAATAATCCATCCCCTGAAAATAACCCCTAGGGTATCTTCTTGAGGAAAAATAAATATAAGACCCTGTCTTATTTTCGGGGAAACACGGTATGTACTACCTTTTGTTTATCCTTCCACAGAAGTTTGGGTTGTATGATGGTTAATTTTGTTTGTCAATTTTGTTTGTCTCCTTCCACCCACCCCCTTTCCTTCTTTCTTGAGCTGGGATATTGATATTCTCCTGCTCTCAGACATCAGAGCTCCTGGTTCTCAAGATTTCAGACTCTAGAAGTTATACCAATGGGCTCTCTGGTTTTTGGTCTTCAGAGTAGACTGGAGTGACACCATAGGGTTCCCTGGTTCTCAGGCCTTTGGACTTGGGCCGAATTACAGCACCCTCTTTCTTGGCTCTCCACCTTGCAAATGGCATGTTGTGGGACTTCTTCAAATCTGTAATCAATGTGAGCCAATTTCCATAATAAATCTCCTCTTATGTATCTATATATAATATATATGATATCTATCTATATGTATGTGTGTGATCTGTTTTTTGGAGAACACTGACTGATACAGATTGTTTCTATTTCTTTGCTATTGTGAATAATGCTGTTGTAAACATGGGTGTGCAAATACCTTTTTGAGACTCTGCTTTCAGTTCTTTCGAGTAAAAACCCAAAAGTGAGATTGCTGGATTTGGTAGTTATATTTTTAATTTTTTGAGGAACCTCCATACTGTTTCCCATAGTGGTTGTATCATTTTATAAGCCTACCAACAGTGCACAACTGTTTCGATTTCTCAGCATCCTCATTAACACTTGTTATTTTTGGATTTTTTTCTTTTTTTTTTTTTTTTGAAGAGAGTCTCACTCTGTTTCCCGGGCTAGAGTGCCATGGTGTCAGCCTAGCTCACAGCAACCTCAAACTCCTGGGTTCAAGTGATCCTTCTGCCTCAGCCTCCCAAGTAGCTAGGACTACAGGCATGTGCCACCATGCCTGGCTAATTTTTTCTATATATTTTTAGTTGGCCAATTAATTTCTTTCTATTTTTATTAGAGACAGGGTCTTATTCTTGCTCAGACTGGTCTCAAACTCCTGACCTTGAGCGATCCTCCCGCCTTGGCCTTCCAGAGTGCTAAGATTACAGGCGCGAGCCACCACGGCCGGCTTAGGCTTTTCTGCATATACGATCATACTATCTGCAGAGATGATTTTACTTCTTCCTTTTCAACTTGGATGCCTTTCATTTCTTTTTCTTGCCTAATTGCTCTGGCTAGGACTTCCAATACTGTGTTGAATAGAAGTGGCCAGAATGGACATTCTTGCCTTGTTCCTGATCTTAGAGGAAAAGCTTTCAGTCTTTTACCACTGAGTATGGTGTTAGCTGTGGAGTTTTCATAAATTACTTTTATTATATATAATTTCCTTCTATTCCTACTTTGTCAAGTGTTTTTTAGAATGAAGGGATATTGACTCTTGCCAAATGCTTTTCTGCATCAGTGGAGATGATCCTGTAGTTTTTGTCTTTCATTCTGTTAATGTGGTATGTTATACTGATTTTCATATGTTCAACTATCCTTGCATCCAAAGGATAAATTCCACTTGATCATGGTGAATGATCCTTTTAATATGCTGTTAAATTTGGTTTGCTAGTATTTTGTAGAGGATTTTTGTATCTATGTTCTTCAGGGATATTGGCCTATAATTTTCTTTTCTTGTAATGTTGTTGTCTGGCTATGGTATCAGGGTAATGCTGCCCTCAAAGAATGGTCTTGGAAGTGTTCTTCTTCCTGAACTTTTTGGAAGGATTTTTGGAGCATTGGTATTAATTCTTTAAATGTTTGGTAGAATTCTTCAGTGAAGCCATCTGGTCTTGGGCTTTTCTTTGTTGGATGGTTTTTAATTAGTGATTTGATTTCCTTACTAGTTACTGACCTGTTCATATTTTCTATTTCTTCCTGATTCAGTCTTGCTGGGTTGTCTGTTTCTGGAAATTTGTCTATTTCTTATATGTTATCCAGTTTGTTGCCATAGTTCATAATGTTCTTTTATAATCCTTTTATATCTATAGCCCAATACCTCCTCACTGGTCATGCAGAATGAGGAATTAAAACTATTATAGGCTCCCTTTTTGCAGCAAGATGTCCTTATTTTTACCTCCTCACCTTGTAATACCCCTATCTTACTACTAAAGAAAGAAGGCGAATTTGATTCAGGAGGAAATCATATTTCTCGATTTGTGCAAGATCTAATAGTTCATGAACTCCTTTGTGATCCTTCACAACTCAATAATTCCTAACCCAGCCACCATTTTTACCTCAGTCTCTACTGGCACAGC